ACTTTGCCCGAGGATAAAAGGGATAGTTCACAGTAAAATGCAAATTTACACACCATTTACTCCACCTCAAGTGGTTGCAAACCTTTTTATCTGTTGACCACAAAAGAAGAGAGTTTGAAGATGGTTAGAAACCTGTAACCATTGACTTCAATAGAAGAAAAAACAATGAACGTCAGTGGTTACAGGTTTCCCAACATTTTACAAAATAACTTCTTTTGTGTTCAACAGAAAAAAAAACACTCAAATTGGTTTGTGACAACAAGCAAAGATGTTAATGAGTAAACAGTGATAGTTTTATTGGGGTTAAGTTGGTTTTACATGCGCACATTTGGACTTTATTCTTAATAATGTAAGTTCAGAAAATCATTCAAATAGTGAAATCATATTAGCAGACAACTATCAAAATACAATATTGTTCAGTCTATTAAATAGAGCTAATGTTGTTTTGATGTCATATTTACATGCGATTTCATTGCAAAGAAGCATAATAAACAACATAGAGACCGTGTAACAAGCTGTCACTGTTCAAAAATGAACGAATATGCTAACATAAAACCAACTTTACCTTAGTTTTGCGTGAACTACCCCTTTAAATGAACCGCTACACTTTTCACAGGTCACTTTAGCCAATACATCAACTTAAAATAAACAAAAGATTCATGATAAAACCATGATAAAAGCACGCCTTGTGTGACAGTATATGCCATCAAGCTATAATGAGGTAAAGTTGGTGTTATATTTGCACATTCGTTCATTTTTGAACACAAAAACTTGTGACATGTTATCTATGATGTTTATTACACTTCTTTAATTATGGGATTATAAAACCAACTTTACCCCATTTATTTACTCATCTTTAAGTGGTTACAAACATTTATGAGTTTCATTTTTCTGTTGGACACAAAATAAGGTAGTTTGAAGAATGAATTATATGAAGAATGAAGAATAAAAACCTGTAACCATTGACTTCCATAGTAGAAAAAACAAATACTATAGATGTCAATGGTTACAGGTTATCCAACATTTTCCAAAAGGACCACTCAAACAGGTCTGTGACAACAAGCCAAGATGTAAGTGATAAGTAAATGGTGACAGAATTTTATTGGGGTAAAGTTGTTTACATATTCGCAAATTTGGACTTTATTCTTAATAATATAAGTTCAGAAAATCATTCCTAAATAGTGAAATCATATTAGCAGACAATGACTATCAAAATACAACATTGTTCAGTCAATTAAATAGAGCTAATGTTGTTTTGATGTCATATTTACATGCGATTTCATAGCAAAGTAGCGTAATAAACAATATAGGGACCCTGTCACAAGTTATCACTGTTCAAAAATGAATGAATATGCTAATATAAAACCAACTTTACCTTAGTTTTGCGTGAACTACCCCTTTAAATGAACCGCTACACTTTTTACAGGTCATGTTAGCCAATACAACTAAAATAAAAAAAGATTCACGATAAAACCACAATAAAAGCACGCCTTATGCTATCAAGCCATATTGAGGTAAAGTTGGTGTTTTATTTGCACATTCGTTCATTTTTGAACACTAAAAACTTATGACATGTTATCTATGATGTTTATTATACTTCTTTAATTATGGGAATATAAAACCAACTTTACCCCATTTATTTACTCATCTTTAAGTGGTTACAAACATTTATGAGTTTCATTTTTCTGTTGGACACAAAATAAGGTAGTTTGAAAAATGTTAAAAACCTGTAACCATTGACTTCCATAGTAGAAAAAACAAATACTATAGATGTCAATGGTTACAGGTTATCCAACATTTTCCAAAAGGACCACTCAAACAGGTCTGTGACAACAAGCCAAGATGTAAGTGATAAGTAAATGGTGACAGAATTTTATTGGGGTAAAGTTGTTTACATATTCGCAAATTTGGACTTTATTCTTAATAATATAAGTTCAGAAAATCATTCCTAAATAGTGAAATCATATTAGCAGACAATGACTATCAAAATACAACATTGTTCAGTCAATTAAATAGAGCTAATGTTGTTTTGATGTCATATTTACATGCGATTTCATAGCGAAGTAGCGTAATAAACAATATAGTGACCCTGTCACAAGCTGTCACTGTTCAAAAATTAACGAACATCCTAATATAAAACCAACTAAACCTTAGTTTTGCGTGTACTACCCATTTAAATGAACCACTACACTTTTCAAAAATCACGTTAGTCAACTAAAAAAAAAACTTAATGGTAAAACCATAATAAAAGCACGCCTTGTGTGACAGTATATGCTATCAAGGCATCAGCTGTGAAAGTTTCAGTGCATTCAAAGACCTAACAAGAGCGGTAAACCACATCCACCCTCTCAATGAGTGACACAGCCAAACTAACCCATCTTAAAGTCACAACAACCCCGCTCTAATACTGACATACTGTAATCCTCTTAATCTGTGGGACCATTCCGCATTCGCGATGTGCGTTGTTGTTGTTATTATCATCATCACTGCAAGTTTTCTGCAGCATTAATATGCGCGTGCACCAATACATGCATGACATCAATTAATAAAAGCAACTACACGAGCCACTGAAAGCTTACAAACGGCTGATATGTTGAATAAACAGCAGCAGCACTGATCATACACGACAGTCATGAATATCTGGTGTTAAAATGTTATGTTAAATATCGGTACCTGTAAACCGGAGAGGTGCAGAACCGCGTCTTGCACTGGTCTCGCAGCTCTGACTGCTGGTTCCTCTCACTGACCCAGTCTGTCAGCGCTGCCCCATGACGTCACTGCGCCTCTGCAGCTTTCCGCCAATCAGGTGACAGAGCTCGCTGACTCTCAGGTATTGTGGGCGGAGCTTTCCTAGTCGCGGTTCCAAGAATTTGATCTTATAGCTGGCATTATCTGACATGCTTATTCCTAAGAGCTCAGAATGTGCTGCTGATGGGGAAATGTGTTTAAGAAAATCTCTCACACGCTCCCTTGACCTCTTTCATGCGATGTAAATAGTTTTGAGCTTTCTCTCTCTCTCTCTCTCTCTCTCTCTCTCTCTCTCTCTCTCTCTCTCTCTCTCTCTCTCTCTCTCTCTCTCCCTCTCTCTCTCTCTCTCTATACATTTATATATATGGGGAGTGTATATATAAACCTCTAGTTAGCAGGCAAGGTAACTTAGTTGCTTCTTTCATTGTATTTTCACCCACAGCAGGAATTTTAAATATCGTATAAACTGTGGCTGAGGCCAGTGGTTAATATATAAATGTAAAAAGTACGGCACCTACTGGTGGAAACCATTTTTGCTTTATATTGTACATAGTGCATAGACTTTGATTATACCTACATTTAATATGTATATTACCAAAAAAAGTTTTATGTTTAAAAAGGTAAAGGATACATAAAAACCGCTGCATAAAACATGTGCTGGATAAGTTGGCGGTTCATTCTGCTGTGGCGACGCCAGAATAAAAAAAGGGCTGAAACTGTGTTCATAACTGAAAAGAAAATGAATGAATAATAATAATAATAATAATAATAATAATAAAATGATAATAATAGTAATTATTATTATTATTATTATTATAATGTACAGCCTGTGTTATTTATAAATGTAAGTTGCGTTATTATATATATATATATATATATATATATATATATATATATATATATATATATATATATAATGGTGTTAATAATAATAATTAATTCATTCATTTTCTTTTCAGCTTAGTCCCTTTATTAATCTGGGGTCACAACAATAAACCGCCAACTTATCCAGCATTTGTTTGCCCTTCCAGCTGCAACCCATCACTGGGAAACATCCATACACAGTCATTCACACACATACACTACGGACAATTTAGCCTACCCAAATCACCTGTACCACATGTCTTTGGACTGTGGGGAAAACTGGAGCACCTGGAGGAAACCCACGTGAACACATGGAGAAAATGCAAACTCCACACAGAAACAGCAACTGACCCAGCCGAGGCTCAAACCAGTGACCTTTCCTGCTGTGAGGCGAGCGTGCTACCCACTGAGCCATTGTGAAGCCTATAAATAATAACAATAATAATAATAATAATAATAATAATAATACATTATTATTATTATTATTATTATTATTATTATTATTATTATTATTATTATTATTATTATTATTATATTAATATTATTATTATTATCACCATTAATTATAATAATATATTTTATAATAATGCAAATTACATTCGTAAATTGTACATGCTGACCATCATAATAATAAAATAAAATTAATATTAATATTAGGAATATATGTAATAATGTGCAATAATATGTGTAAGAATATGTAATAACACAGTGCATTAGCAATGACAAAAAATGTATATTGTGTTTGTATATATCATATTATATGAATTATATAAAGATGCAGCAGCTAAATTTCTGAGAAACCGATAGTCAAATGTATTAATACTAAATACAATGATGACAAATGTGTGTGGAAAAAAACGCAAATATTTATTGTTTAGATGTGCATATTTGTTTAAATGTGTAATGTAAGTTGTTGTTAAATCTAAATATATTATTAAAGAATTATGTACACGTTAAGAATTATGAAGTACAAACTATTATCAAAACTGAAAGTCTATGAGAGAGGGGTGAAGTCTAAAAGGGATACAGGTGCTGATACTCACGTCAATATAGCATATTTTTGTGACAATTTACAACATCAATTAATATTTTGACATCACTGTGATGATTGGAGTGGTAGTAGACGTTAATAAAATACAATTTAATGGTTGATTTTATAAATAATACGAATAATATTCGGTATAATTACTGTTTTTACACTACTGCGATGGCTGGGTTTAGGGTTGGAGTAGGGATAAGACGCTAAGAAAATACAATTAATAAATAATTTGATAAATATTATAAATAATTATCGGTAATTTTCAGTAGCAGCTGTATCCCTTCTACCAGCAACCCTATAGAGGACGCTGTGTTCAAACCGAGCACACATTAGGCCGGAACTTGTAGCGTTAAATCCTGTCAGTTGCCTGGTGACGCCGAAGCTCCTCTCGCCAGTTTCCTGTGCCTTGTATCACCCAAAACAAGTTTGAAAAACAAATCACCGTCGTTACATTGAGAAGAAGTCATTTAACTACTGCACACTGAAAAAAACCTCTCGCTATGTGATACAGGCAGCATCTCTGGGAGGAGGATCATGGACGGATATTTATTCGTCAGAGTTGTGGGGAAGGGGAGCTACGGGGAAGTCAACCTGGTCCGACACAAATCCGACCGTAAACAGGTAAATTACAGTCATGCATGAGTAAGAGTCTGCGCAGAGCTGTGCTAATCAGTAACACACTGCTTTAGATGTATTATTAACGTCTGGGGGTTTGTTATTAAAAGAGTTTGTTGTTGTTTTTGCTGCTGAGAGACTCTTTTGACAAAATATCCAACGTAACGTAGTTTTGAATATGACCGTTTTAAGAAAAACAGTTGTATCGTGTTAATATTACATTAATATTGTGTTATATTTACATTCATATTTTATTGTAGGTAATAGTTATGTATAATGACTATAACAATTGCAATAACATCAAGTAATATGGTTTATTATTTATTATTCTGTGTTAAAATGCATTTACTCCTGTAAAATACTAGTATGAATTTTAATAATGTACAAGTAAATGTCGAGTCATACATTAGAGTAATCCCAGCGTTATTGATGCGACATTTGCAGGAAAAACCTTTAGAGAATCAATATTTTAACATCAAATTGAAACATATTTATATTTTATAAAACAGCTAACCACAGACTTGTATGATCGGGAAAAATATCCATCTGTAAAAATATTTTATATTTTAAACATTTTACTGATATGGATGTGACCATAACCGTTAGTGAGTTTACGCACTAAAAAATTATATGACTTAAAGTCTTGACTACAAATGCTTTTATGTTGCTTTAACTTATCTTATTAGGCACGTTTCAATTACCTTTTTTAGGTTATGCAAAGTTTAATGTACCATTTTCAGTCAGTTTGATTGATGTTGAAGTTGAGATGACTAGAAAAGTTAATTTAATTCAACTAAAAAATATATATTTTTTATAGTGCAGCATACAACATACTTTAGAAATTCTGTGAATTAAACTGCACAACCCAAAATAAAGCATTCTAATCAAAATGCTTAGAGTTGACTCACTATAGAACAAAAATGTTTATTTTATTTAATTATTTTTGCATAGTATGGCGGGAAAAGTTTGGTTATGGACGTGACATCTCTCCTTTACGGGAGTGACAGATCAAATATAATCATTTGAAAACGTTGACAGACATTTTAAAATATTTTTACAGTACTGTAAAATATAAAGTCTACACAATTTGTTTTTTTTTTTTGAAAGGTTTCGATATTTTGGTGAAAATCTTTTTTTCATGACAAGGTTGACATTTGCATGGAATTGTTCATTAATTAAAATTAATAGATTCTGTAGAAGTGTTTTATTGTTAGTTTATGTTACATAATGTAGTTAACCCATGGTAAAAATAAAAAAGACAAACTTAATTGTAAATTAAATTATAGTTGATGTATTCAATAATGCACTATATTTAATATATATATATATATATATATATATATATATATATATATATATATATATATATATATATATATATATATATAAATATGTGTGTGTGTGTGTGTGTGTGTGTGTGTGTGTGTGTGTGTGTGTGTACATATATACATGCAGTTGAAGTCAGAATTATTATTATTAGAAATCAGTTATTAGAAATGAGTTATTAAAACTATTATGCTAAGAAATGTGTTGAAAAAAAATCTGCTCTCCGTTAAACAGAAATTGGTGGAAAAAAATAAACGGGGGCTAATAATTCTGACTTCAACTATATATATTTCGTTATACATATTAGTCGTATATATATATATATATATATATATATATATATATATATATATATATATATATATATATATATTATTAATTAATAAATTTTTATTATTCATGTAATAATAGGATAACTTCAGGCTCTTTGTGTAATTTTTTTTTTTTTAATGCTGTTATAATACCACACAAAAGTATTCAGCTTATTCTCAAAATCTAAAGACAAAATTAGAAGATTCAAATTCTTTAAATTTAAAGAAATGTGTAATCAAAGACATATTGGTCACAATTCATTTTAAGGTGTCCTTGTTACACTAACTATTCATTTAATTACTGACCAATATTAATTAATTGCATGAACTTACCATATCGTTAGGGTTAGTTGCATGTAACCATGCCAAATGAATTGTAATTTCTATAATAAATACATGTAGCAAGTACTCCCTAAAATAAAACTAAATTTCTCTTTATTTAATTAACTATTGCAATTATGTTTTATGGCTTAATAATCAAGATCATTTGATTAAATAAACATTAGTCCTTTGATTTCTTTATTTTTTTTTATTTTGATATTTGTCACAAAGCAGGATCATGTAATTTTACTGCAAAATAAAATATGAAAAATGTAGATTGTATAATGTTTTTGAAAATGAGAAAGACATTTTGTTCCAGAATTCAAGACTTGTGCATAATATCTGCTGTGGTTTTTTCAGTATGTGATCAAGAAGCTGAACCTGAGGACGTCCTCCAGACGTGAACGGCGAGCAGCGGAGCAGGAGGCGCAGCTCCTTTCCCAGCTTAAACATCCCAACATCGTCATGTACCGGGAATCATGGGAAGGCGAGGACTGTCAGCTGTACATCGTGATGGGCTTCTGTGAGGGAGGAGATCTGTACCACAGACTCAAACAGCAGAAAGGAGAGCTGCTGCCTGAGAGACAGGTGGTGGAGTGGTTTGTTCAGATCGCCATGGCTCTTCAGGTAAGTTAATAGCCATTCTTCTCACTAGGGGTGTAAAAATACATCAATATTAGGGGTGGAGTCGCCACAATACAATATAATCACAGTACAAAATTATTGTCACTTTAAATATATTGCTATATTTTGATATTTAATGCAATTTACAACTCTAAATTATGTTGCCAAATGAAAACTTTGGCAACATCTGTTTTAAAGGTGCTGTATGTATTTATTGAACTCCTCTAAAGCATAAAAATACCAGAATATGTTTGCAGATGTTTAAGAAACATGATAAGTAAATATACTTGTATATCAGAAAAACAATGCTAAGTCAGTGAAATGTGTGTTCCATGTCAGAACGTCTGTCATTGTTTTGGTCCTTAACTCCACCCCTGCTGGTTTACCCAATTATATTTTGGCAGCCCGGGTTGCTAAAAGGCTACATGAGGTGGTTTCTAAATGAGCTAAAAAAAAATAAGCATTAGCTATGCAACTTGTGAAGCTCAATTGCCAGGCATGCTCTCTCTTGTTTGTGCTGTCAATCTGGCCACTTGCACTTGCGTACAGTCATCGTTGAAGGGGCCCCGTGGAAAAAAAAAAGCAAAACTTTCTAATATTTTGAATTTAGACTGCAATACCAAATTCAACATGCTGCAACTTTAACTAAACAGAAACATTTGTAAGTTTGCTTATCCCACTGCATTTTGCTCCAATGCAAAATGGGATTGTCGAGCAGACAAACTGACCATCACTTTAATGAAAGCCTGTCATAAGTGTTGTTTGCTGCCATCTTTATTTTACTAGCTTACTGCATGCTGAACATGACCCCAGTTTAATAGTACCATCCCCTGGACTTTAAAGAAACAGATTTTTAAAATTCTACTAATTATTATAGTAAAATATTGCCAAAATATTGATATGGGTGTCAGTGTATGGATATAGTATTGCTGTGGAAATTATCGCAATTCTTTTATGTATCAATACCCCCCCCCCCACCCTTAATCATTATAAATTGATATATTGATTAAATGACAGACAATATGATTAATCATTACTTCGTGTAAAATATTTATACCTCTGTACATTTTTTAACACACACTTTTATTTTGACACTCCCCATATCTGCATGTCCATTGGCATATTTTTAGATTTTACAAAAAGCATTATTGTATTCCCTATTTACAGTTGAAGTCAGAATTATTAGCCCCCCTTTGATTTTTTTTCTTCTTTTTTAAATATCTTCCAAATGATGTGTAACAGAGCAATGAAATTTTCACAGTATGTCTGATAATATTTTTCCTTCTGGAGAAAGTCTTATTTGTTTTATTTCGGCTAAAATAAAAGCAGTTCTTTATTTTTTAAACACCATTTTATGGACAAAATTATTAGCCCCTTTCAGCTAATTTTTTACTCGATAGTCTACAGAACAAACCATCATTATACAATAACTTGCCTGATTACCCTAACCTGCCTAGTTAACCTAATTAACCTAGTTAAGCTTTTAAATGTCACTTTAAGCTGTACAGAAGTGTCTTGAAGAATATCTAGTCAAATATTATTTACTGTCATCATGGCAAAGATAAAATAAATCAGTTATTAGAGATGAGTCATTATGTTTAGAAATGTGTTAAAAAAAATCTTCTCTCCGTTAAACAGAAATTGGTGGAAAAAAAATAAACAGGGGTTCTAATAATTTAGGGGGGCTAATAATTCTGACTTTAACTGTATGCACAGAATTTTCGGCTGCAGAAAATTATCGGCCAAAAATTACATTTTCAGTTTTTGGCCAAAAGAGGAAAGTGGCTGGGGAAAAGCTATGCTTTGCCACGCTATCCAGCAGTGTTTAGCATGCTAGTTTCAATCTCCATTCAGCTGTAGCCACTGAGTGATGTAAAGCGGCTTTCACACTGGATGCGGAAAGTGCTGCGCTTATGACCTTATTCATTTCAATGCCTTGTGACCCGCAAGAGTGGTTTGTTGCTGCACCGACCAAAGTGCAAGAGCAGAGATATTCTGATCATGTATATCATATCGCATATAAATATATATACATTTGCACATTAACAGATCATGCTCACCAGAAAAGCGAATTATGCTCAAATAACATGTCAACAGGAAATTTCTATGTAGAATACTTGTTCCTGCTGCTTGCAACACCTCTACTGTGCCGTCATGGCAATGCTTGTAAAATGAGGCCTGTCATGTTTGTTCACTGTCAATAAAATTTGTTTGTTTTAGCTTGTGTTTTTATTAATCCGTAAAATTACATTTATTTAGTTAACGTTAAAAAGTCTTACAAAATTACTTTATATAACTATAAATAATAATAAATAAACTTTACAAATCATTTTTGGCATGCACAATTTTCCGTTTCGACCCTAAATTTCGCAGATTATTTCTGTTTTATTTTAAAGAATATGCACAGCATTATTTAGTGTTATTTTGGATGGAACAAAATATTTACTTATTAACTTAATATTTACTTTATTTATTAAAAAAATACAGATTTTAGTTTAATCTTAATATTATATACTTAAAAATATTAACAGTTCTGTAAACTGAGCTAATCATATTTTATACCAATACATTGATGTATGTTCCACTGAATAAAATTGAGCTAAAATTGTATCGCAGAATTTTATGAAGTATTGACAAAAAGCTAATCACCTGCTATCATATTGGTATTATATTGTATTGTGGCGAGACATCTGATTTACAGTCCTACTTCCCATTATTTATCCTTTCTCTTCTTTTAGCTGAATAATAAACTTTTGACTTTTGTTGTTGATCTGTAGTATTTACACGAGAAGCACATTTTACATCGAGATCTGAAAACGCAGAATATCTTCTTGACCAAGACCAACATAATCAAGGTGGGCGATCTGGGCATCGCACGAGTCTTGGAGAATCAGAACGATATGGCCAGCACTCTGATCGGCACACCGTACTACATGAGTCCGGAGCTGTTCTCCAACAAGCCGTACAACTACAAGGTACTGCGTGAACACTGTGACCCACAACTAAGGTTACTACATCAGTCACTTAACAATTGAGTCAAGACTATCTTGTGGGCCATATTTGTGCTCTCAAACAATTAATCACATCCAAAATAAGAGCACATATTTATAAAGCATGTTCTAACTGTGTATATTTTTGTGTGTACATGTGTACATATACACACACACCGGCCACTTTATTAGGTACACCTGTCCAACTGCTTGTTCACACAAATTTCTAATCAGCCAATCACATGGCCGCAACTACATGCATTTAGGCATGTAGACATGGTCAAGATGGTCTACTGCAGTTCAAACCTCATCAGAATGGGGAAGAAAGAGGATTTAAGGGACTTAAAACGTGGCATGGTTGTTGGTGCCAGACGGGCTGGTCTGAGTATTTCAGAAACTGCTGATCTACTGGGATTTTCACGCACAACCATCTCTAGGGTTCACAGAGAATGATCTGAAAAAGAGGAAACATCCAGTGAGCGGCAGTTCTGTGTGTGCAAAATGCCTTGTTGATGCCAGAGGTCAGAGGAGAATGGCCAGACTGGTACCAGCTGTCAGAAAGGCAACAGTAACTCAAATAAGCACTCGTTACAATCAAGGTCTGCAGAAGAGCATCTCTGAACACACAACACGTCCAACCTTGAGATGGATGGGCTACAGCAGCAGAAGACCACATCAGGTGCCGCTCCTGTCAGCTAAGAACAGGAAACTGAGGCTACAATTCACACAGCCTCTCCAAAACTGGACAATAGAAGATTGGAAAAACATTGCCTGATCTGATGAGTCTCGATTTCTGCTGCGATATTTAGATGGTCGGGTCAAAATTTGGTGCCAACAACATGAAAGCATGGATCCATCCTGCCTTTTATCAACAGTTTAGGCTGGAGGTGGTGGTGTAATGGTGTGGGGGATATTTTCTTGGCACACTTTGGGCCCATTAGTACCAACTGAACTTCATGCCAACTAATAATGCAGACTTTAAAAACAAAATAATTTGCAAACACCAAATTTTATATTGTTTTTTTTTTATTTGCGCAAAACTGAAACTTAAAATAGATGATGATTTCTTAATTTTCAGGTTATAATAAAAAGTGTTATTTTTTATATTCAAACTAAACTTTCTTTCATGCTCAGAAAACATCAGCAATAAACCTCAATAGATAATTCTTAATTTGTCATTTATATTGTTTTATTTATTCTAGTTGTGTTTATTTGTGTTTTTCAGTCGGACGTGTGGGCGCTGGGATGTTGTGTGTATGAGATGGCAACCCTAAAGCATGCCTTCAATGCAAAGGACATGAACTCACTTGTGTATCGGATCGTAGAAGGAAAGGTACATGATTATGTTCATCCCTTTTTCTCTTTAAACTCTGAAAATCGACATCTTTTACACTATAAAAGGATTGTTCACCCAAAACTGAAAATTCTGTCATCTTTTAGGCTGCATTTACACTGCAGATTTTGATGGTCAATTCCGATTTTGTGACTGTATCCGATTGTTTTTGCTGACCTGCTTACATCATCCTTTAAAAGTGACTCGTATCCGATCGTCTGCGTTTACACAGCACACGGCAAAGGCGCAATAACCAGGAAAAAAAAGAGCAGGCGCTGACTAACAGCTGAGTTTTCTCTATTCCTGCATGTAATCTGTTCACCGCTCTTGACAAGCTGTTTAACTATAGTTTATGACAGAAAGGTTCTCATTTTTCCATCTTCTTTTGATATATACGCTTTTTAAAACCTTTAGGCATCTTAATGTAATGTCCATGGCGTGATTTATGCATGTGATGTATGCACTAGATTTATATTAGTTTATATTGGTTACTTTGTGGACATTGCGCTCTCTCACTCTCGTTAACATGCTTAAATACCTGTGCAATATGACAATATGAAAGCTGTTTAAGTCTTCGTGTATGAGATTTGAGGTTTGGGACTCTGCTGAAGTCTGTTTTGAAAGAAAAGTGTCAGACTTGACGTCATGCGCTATGGTTTTTAATGACGTGCAACTCGCATTGACAGGTGAAAATCCGATCTACCTGCCTACACTGCAGACAAGAGAACACAGATCCAATTCATATATTAATAAATATAATATATATTGATAAATTTCCACATATGAACAAGGCCTGAATCTGATTTGAGTATATCGGAATCCATGTGGTTTGTTCCTGTTTATGCCGAGTTCAGACTGCATGATTTTCAAAGTAGTCTTGTCACACATGTTTTCACACTGCATGACTATCTGGGCTTGCGTTTTGTCACTGCTTTGTTTACTCTGCAAGATGGATCGGCGACAGGAACTTTCACATTGCATGACTTTACTATAGGAAGAATCGCTGACAAATTCGTCCAAACTACGTCTCACAGCCAAAAACACGTCGTATATCTTTTGTTATTAACTACATAATGAGAAAGAAGCCTATGATGGGGTAGAAAATGTCCATATTTGCTCACCTGGGTTTAAAGGGAATTAGCCATTTCTCCTCAACATTGATAATAAACTAATTTCTTTCTGTATGAAACGTCAAACAGACACGGTTGCTCCTGAGTCGTGTCAAACCTCCACTAGTTTTTCCTCCATTTCGTGGGTCCAAATAAACCGAAAAAGAGCGCTTTTAACTTCTCCCCCAGCCTCCCGCTGGCCTGCAGCAGGTACAAACACGCACACACAAGTGGATGCCGCTCTCTCATTGGCTGTAGGCGATTGCTGATGTTATTTTCAGTAAAAACTCAATTCACACGGCATGATTTGAATCGCCGACAGCTCCAGATATTCAGCACGCCAAATATCTCACAGGCATCGGCGACTCATCGGCGTTTCTCTCAGATCGCGTCTTTGATAGTTCATACTGTGTGATTGTCACTCACGTGCACGAGCACCGATTTGCCTGTAATTTTAGGCATTTGTCGGCGATTTCTCAAAACCTGTCGGCGAGCCAAAATCGGGGCTAAAATCACGCAGTCTGAACTAGGCATTACACGTACATAGGCCATATCCGATCTGTGCCACATGGGAGAAAAAAATTGGAATTGAGTCAGTTGAACAGTGCAGTGTAAATGTGGCCTCACTCACCTTTCAATTGTTTAAAATCTGTTTGAGTTTCTATTTTCTGTTTAATACAAAAGAAGTTGGAAAATATTGAAAACCTCTAACCATTGACTACCATAGCATTTGTTTTTTTTTACTATGGAAGTCAATGGTTACAGGTTTCTGACATTCTTCAAAATATCTTTTTTTGCATTCAACAGAAAAAAACATTGGGAATCACTTGACGGTGATTAAATAGTGAATACATTTTCACTTTTTGATTAATCTACAGTCCATTCATATCAGTACTCTCTCCATACCTCCTCGCATTATACTAACATCATTGATTATTTACTTTCAATATTCAGTTACCACAGATGCCAAGTAAGTACGACCCTCAGCTGGGAGAACTGATAAAGCGCATGCTGTGTAAGAAGCCAGAGGACAGACCAGATGTCAAACACATCCTCCGACAGCCATATATTAAACATCAGATCTCCATGTTCTTGGAGGCCACTAAAGAGTATGTCTGCCTATTTCTAGCCTTAAAATTATATTAAAATCTAAGCACGCATTGATCTGTCCTGTTACTGATTCTGAACAGGAAAACCGCCAAGTCACGGAAAAATGCAGCGAATGGCAAACTGAACAGTGCTGGATCAGATGCGTCTACCAAACCAAATCAGGTAGTTCAGCCACAGTGTCTCAACTCTGAGTCAAAGACCTGCGGAAAAAAGGTTAGAGGAATGCCATCTTGGAAATCTTATGCACGTGTGTTTTAAATCGACATGATTTTAGTTAGGGCTGCATGATCTCAATGATTTTGCTTAACATTTGTACACTGCTAAAAATGCTTTTCTTGTTTAGATTTTTTGTCTTGTTTCTAGTCTAAATATCTCAAATTTCTTATATCAAGAAGAATTTTCTTGAAAAGCAAAGAAAATTTTTGAGAAATAATATACCAATATTAAGTGAATTTTTCCTTAAAACAAGCTAAATATTCTGCCAATGGGGGTAAGCAAAATAATCTTGTTTTTTCTTTTGACGTAAGATTATTTTGCTTACCCCATTGGCAGAATATTTTGCTTGTTTTAAGAAAAAACACTTAATATTGGCATATTATTTCTTAAAACAAGGCAATATGTTGTGCTTGTGTAGAAAATTCTTCTTGATTTAGGAATTTTTAGATATTTGGACTAGAAACAAGGCAAAAAAATCTAAGTAAGAAAAGCATTTTTTGCAGTGTAATTATGATTATTGTCAATTGAGATATTTCTGTCTACATTATAGCACTTCAAATCGAGAGAGCATTAGCTCATATATGACTCAGTGTTTTTTTTTTTTTTTTAAATCTTTACAACAAAACAAGATATTCTGAATAATGTTGGGGGAAAAACTGCCACTGGCATCCAGGTTGTCCCCCATCGCCATCACTAAGTAAAAACTTCCTTTAGTATTTTTCCTTTGGTCCCTATTACAGTGCAAAATGACAGAGCATGTTTATGGCATGATTTGTTGCTATTTTCAGACCAGCGCAGCTGTAATTTTCACGTTTTGCACCACGTTGTTTAAATAGCAAATCTATTTGTGCCACTCTGTGCACTCATGGGTGTGCTGGTCTATAAAGGAGGTGTGTTAAGGCGCATTGTTGGCGAGTTGCTATTTTGAGGAACTGATATAGACCGCACTATTGACCAACTAAAAGCTGGTCTAAAGTCCAGCGCAGAGCGTGTTTTATGCACTAGTGCAGATCCAAATGCTTGCACAATGCTTTATACACACAGGATGTAGAGCAATACACAAATAACTTGACATATGAAAACAAATATTGGATTAAAATGTTACAAAAATGATTATTTTCTACATAAAAAAACACGACCTCCATGCCTTCATCTCGGGGAGGGGGGCTTTTTCAGTTTATTCATGACAATTTGCATTTGTATAATGTTGTTGTTATTTATTATATGAATTTTTATATTTGTTTTAATAAAAACAAGTTTAGATTTGTCCTCCTGTTGGGTTTTGGAGACCTATGCATCACTATAAGGGGCATAAGAACAGGATGTGTGTTTGGATATAACTCCGTTTTCTGAACAAACTTTGTTATTATTGTTCATTTATTAATTTACTGGAAATTAGAAATTAATTTAGAAATAGTTTTGAAACAAATCTTTGTGCTTAACTAAAATTAAAATATGTAGGCTAATGAATGTCTCCAGTGGAGTGAGTTTCCACCATTTCCTTACTCCACCAAAGTAAAGGAGTAAAGTAAAGAGTAAAAGTAAAGTAAAGAGAAAGTATAGAGGCTGATTGGAGGAGACTCATTCTTTATCCTCACACTGCAAATGCTCTGTTTAACTGTTTTCTCGCTGGTAAAGCGTTCAGTTTTTCCACTTACTAAGCCCGCCATGGAAATAGCAAATGCGCAATGGCGCGATGCAACTGACTCTTAAAGGATATGGGAGATGAGACTCTGATTGGTTTAATGCGCATTATGCTCAAAACACATCCATAACTCATTAATAGAATAAGCTCAACCCTGTTAGACCATGTGCGAGGGTGCAGACCATATTTTTCCTTCCTTAAAATAGCAAAAGTCGATTATGACACGCCCTTAAAGCTTTTGTGCACTTTTGACTTTGTGCTTAGATCGTTAAAATAGAACCCATAGTGTTCAACAGAATAACGAATCTCAAACAGGTTTGGTTGTCATGTCATTAACACAAACCAAATTCTTTCAGGCTTTAGTAATTATTTTTGAGGGTCAAAAAAGACATGTCAGAAAGGTTGCATAATGCCAATTGTTGGTTTCAAACTTTACTTAACATGTATGTAAATGGCTTTAAAGTCGTAATGAGATCAAAATTTGCTTTTCTTATTTTATTTATATAGTAGTGTCTGTTATAAACAATGTATTTGTGCACTTTATCAATGCCATAACCTTCCCTCCCCCCTTTAAAACAACTTTTCTTAACGATATGGGAAAAAAGGATAATCTTAACTTCCATTTATTGGCGAATTTAAAGGGCACCTAGGTTACCCCTTTTTTCAGATTTAATATAAGTCTTTAGCGTCTCTAGAATGTGTATATAAGGTTTCAGCTCAAAACACCCATCCGATTTTTCATTATACCTTTTACAAGATGCTGTTTTATACACATTTCCAGCAGGGGGTGGTTTTGTCGTACTGCGTCTTTAAGCCGAGTTCTGCCCGCCTACTGTTTCTATGTGCCTTCCCGCGTGCTTTAATCTCCTCCCTCGGCTGCGTCAGACAACAGAGAAACTTAGAGGAAGAAGGTCTCACATAGCGTTTGTGAGAAATACTACAGTAAGAACTAATCTTTACTAATCAGAAAGTTGCATTGATGAGTCACACACAATATCGTTACAAATTTCACGCGCGCGTAAAGCTGAAGTGAATCGCTGTAATTAATTACACATGTGCTCTGTTTTAAAACACTTTAAACATGTGAAACTTACTCTTAATCACATTTAATGATGATTGCTGATCCTAGCGAACAGAACAGACCTTTTATTCCCGGTTGCTTTGCGTATTTCTGCCTGGTCTTGTTCACATATACACGTGGCTACCGGAACATGTTAATGTGCGCAGCTGTCAATCAATTCGGTGGGCGGGGGGATCGCACTCCTACGTAAAGTTGCAGTCGTTCTGAAAACCGCTCCAATTGGTCCACCGTTTTTATGTTGTTACATTGAAAAAAAAAAGGACTGTGTGTGTTTATATCACCCCAGAATGATGGTCTATACACTATATACACATATGTTTGTCCAAATAGCTTGAAAAGTAGATTTTTCACCATAGGTGCCCTTTAAAGTGTTGTTCCTTATGCTCAAATGGTGTTTTAAAACAAAGCATTTGTTTCAGGTTGCTTTTTATAGGAACTAGATCTAACAGCAGCTGAAGTGATGCAGTGACTTTACTAGTGGCCGATGGGCTCTTTTATTCCTAATATGGCAAGAGAATCGATTAGGCATCTATATTCTTTGTCTGATCTCAGTTCTGCTTTGTGCTCCACATTTTACAGGCTGAAGAAATATATTTGAACCGACAAAAACCCTGTAATGGTGCCTGGGAAAATGTGGCTCCTAAACATCACATGCCCCCCAAATCTCCTACACAAGACATTCATAACTCAACAGGCCAATCTATAGCCACTATTAGCAATATAGACATTGAAATACAGAAACAGAGAAAAGCCAAACCACCAAAACCCAGCAGCCACCAGAACAACAACCTGCCATCTGTGAGCAAGAGGAGAGAGAAAGAAGACCCCGGTGCTCCTCAAACACACCCTCACAAACAAGTGTCTGGTGTCGGCGGGACGGAGGATAAGATGTCAGCGAATGCAAGTTCAATAACACCCAAACATGCAGATGGAACCAAGATGCCAAACAAGAGTAAGGCTCTTGATGTAAGTTTGGACCTTAAAGACGACACCATGAAGCTCCTGCAGGAGGCAGGGGTGCAGGACCTCCCATACGAGCCCACTGAGCTACATCACAATGCGGAGCAAAAGACCGAGAGCCAAAGAACAGCTGATAATCAGAGCAACGCTGGTGTCCTGAAGGATGCTCCTACTGGAAGTTCAACCGAGGAGAGTGAGGTATGTAACTGTGAAGGAGCCAAAAAAAAAAAGTTTGATAGGTTTACTTAATCTTAAATCTATTGAATGAGACGACATTTGAAGTTGAATTGACATGCTGAGACGACATTTGAAAACTATCAATTGGCATGACTGTTAATGAAACAGAGCACTCTGATTGGCTGCTCAACTACGAATCAGAATGCGAGAACAAAAACTGAAATGACGAAACTCAGCAAATGATGCAAGAAGGAACACAAAGAAGCCAGCTGTCCTGTCAGAGTATTTCGTAAATATTTGCACATATTTTAGTTTACGATTTGTATGTGTGGCACCCCTAGTTCTGGTTTCCCTTTGAGGACTGATAATACAGACTCCTGCCACTTGCTGGTATTGAAAGATACATCCTCTCTTTCAGAAGCAGAACGTATCTCGTTCTCATTTCAGTTATCAGTCGTATGTTCGCGTAGATTTTTGGTCTAGACGGCACCAAGACGTAGCTAATGCAACCGTTTATTTTTTTGCTTGCTAACTTTTAAAGAGTTTGTAGTTTTGCCTATAAGTCAGTAAGTGGCAGCAGGATTCTGTGCAAATGAAAGATTCATTAAATCGTTTATTCTATCGATTTCTTCAAAACAGCTGATTCATTCAAAAAGTAAAAGTCTTCGTGAGTAGATCATGCGTTTGGCTCAACCATTTTAAATATAAAATATAAAAACTAAAGCCCTTACTATAATTAATTTCATTCATTTTCTTGTCGGCTTAGTCCCTTTATTAATCAGGGGTCACCACAGCGGAATGAACCGCCAACTTATCCAGCAAGTTTTTATGCAGCGGATGCCCTTCCAGCTGCAACCCATCTCTGGGAAACATCCACACACACATTCACACACACTCATACACTACGGACAATTCAGCCTACCCAATTCACCTGTACCGCATGTCTTTGGACTGTGGGGGAAACCAGAGCACTAGGAGGAAACCCATGCGAAGGCAGGAAGAACATGCAAACTCCACACAGAAACGCCAACTGAGCCGAGGTTCGAACCAGTGACCCAGCAACCTTCTTGCTGTGAGGCGACAGCACTACCTACTGCGCCACTGCCTCGCCCTATTATTAATTTATTTAGTTATTATTATTATTATTATTTTTATTTTATTATTTTTTTTAATTATTATTATTATTATTTGTATTCTATCATCATTTTGTAGCTTCATTATGATGTAAATTGTTTTGAGTCTTGATAAAATGTGTGACATACTTACTAATGTCAGCTCGTACATCGAGTAATTATGATTTTCTCACACACCTGTATTTGTCTGATTGTTAGTTAGTTAGTTAGTTAGTTAGTTAGTTAGTTATTCCAAGTTCAGACTGCATGACTTTAGCCCTGATTTTGACTCGCAGACAGGTTTTGAGAAATCGCTGACAAATGCCTGAAATCACAAGCAAACCAGTGCTTGTTCACGTGAGTGACAATCGCTCAGTGTAAACTATCAAAGACACAATATGAATCGCGGATAAGTCGCGGACACCCATGAAATATTTGGCAGGCTAAATGTCTGGAGCTGTCAGCGATTCAAATCATGCCGTGTAAAATGTGTTCTGATTCAAATTAACATAAATCGATCACCTACAGCCAATGAGAGAGCAGCATTCACTAGTACGGGTACCTGCAGGACAGTGGGAGTCTGGGGGAGAAGTAGAAAATGAGAAGCACTCGTTTTTTTGTTTATTTGGACCCAAGAAATGGAAGAAAAACTAGTGTAAATGTGGCAGGAGCACCTGTGTCTTACGTGTCATCTGAGCAATATCACAATCAGGTCAAAAAGTTTTTAAAAAGTTAAGGAGAGATTGTTAATTCTCTTCAAAATCAGGTGAGCAACACAAGTTTCTAAAGCTAAAGCCTTCTTTTTCCTTTATGTAGTTGATAACGAAAGATATACTACGTGACCTCGCGTTGTTTCCTTGTCACTTCTCGCATTTGTTTGGTTGTGAGACGTAGTTTGGACAAAGTTGTCAGCGATTCTTCCTATATTAAAGTCATGCAGTGGGAACTCTCCTGTCGCTGATCCATCCTACAGTGTAAACAGCACCGACAGAACGCTAACCCAGATAGTCATGCATTGTGAAAACATCTGTGACACGACTACTTTGAAAATCATGCAGTCTGAATTTGGCATTAGTTTGTTAATTTGTTTGTATATTTGTTTATTTGTTAAACTACTTTTCCTTGACATTACAGGGAAGTTTAGATTCCACAGAGAAACTACTCAAGCCTGTTCCTGTAATATTTATGGTAAAACTAGTTTTGCTTTCTTTCTCTCTTTCTTATTTGTTTAAAAATACTATATATATATATATATATATATATATATATATATATATATATACATATATACAGGGCTTTACATTAACTTTTTTGATCACCAGCCACTGCGGCTAGTAGATTTCCAACATTACTAGCCACTTGCCATTTTCACTAGCCACAATTTTGTTGTTTGGAAAATATATTTTATATAAATAAATGTGACTTTGATATGCTAAAATGACTTGATTTAGATGTTGTGTTGTCCCAGATCAGCAGTTACTACACACAAATGGTTGGTTAGGATGATATTTAAACTATATTAACAAAAATAACTGTAAGCAAAAGAAAGCAGGTAAAATACCACAAGTGATAGTGAAAAGATGATCACATGCCTGAGAATAATTCAAACGAAAGCAGTGACTGCTGCTGTTGCTTACAAATATATATATATATATATATAAAATTTTTTTTTTTTTTTTTTTTTTTTTCAATCTTGAGCTCTTAAAAGCAGCAGGACTGTGGGTAAACGAGCATCGTTTTTTGTCTAGTCTTTTTCAAAGAGAACCGAATGCAAGTGAACGGAAAAAAGCGCAAGTAAACGGGAGCGCGCACGCTGTAAAGTCAGAGTAATCATCCTCTCATACGGTATTCACCTGCTTTGTCTCGCGCGAACACAGTTGTTTTCAGTCGTGCCGTTTCTCGATTCTAAGATCACATTTGCACTCATATTGGGCCATCCTTATTGTCGAGTCGAACCCTGCTTTAAGAAAAAAACTACAATGTAAAATTATTTCCAACCTGCCAAAGTGGCTAGTGGGAGCAGCTGTCTTACACGCCAGAGCTGAAATCTACCCGCATTTGGCGGGTTGGCGGGTGTTAATGTAAAGCCCTGTATATATATATATATATATATATATATATATATATATAAATGCATGTAGATATTACATAAATAGCTTATTTACTTTATTTTTCTATTAATAACAATATGTCCTTATTGCTTTTTAAATTGATGATGATTCAAGCATAAATTACTTGCTCCAATCATTATATTAGTGTTGTGTTTGTTGTATATTAAGAAGTAAAGCTAATCTATATTCATATAAAATGTTTTATAATATCTTTTAACTGCAACTGAAACATATTCCAACATTATTTATCATAATATTTAGGAGCCGTCCCGTTCAGAGTCGCCTGCAGCTCTATCAGATGAAGGCAGGCCCTCGTCCTCGTCTTCTGAACCCTCCATGTCCCGTCAGCGCAGGCAGAGGAGAAAAGACAAGTCCCAGGACCTGCAGAACGGCATACAAGTGAGTAGTTTGGAGTTTTTTTCCAATGCACATTTTGAAATTGTGGGCTAATTTCGGTAGTGTTTAGCAGTGATGTGCCCATCTAGCACAAGTATTGGGTCTAAGGAATACTATAATATTGCCGCCCAAACCATCCCTGATCCACCCCCATGCTTCACTCTGGGCATGCAATAGTCTTCTATGGGGCTTCTCCACACCATAACTCTCCTAGATGTGGGTAAGACTCATCAGAGAACAGTACATGTTTCACATTGTCCACAGCCCAAGATTTTCACTGCTGGCACCATTAAAACTGATGTTTGGCATTGGCACTAATGACCGAAGGTTTGGCTATAGCAGCCCGGTCATGTATTATTGACCCCTTAGAGCTCCTGACAAATGGTTTTAGTGGAAATAGGAGAGTTGAGCTGCACATTTTATTCTACAGTGAGTTGGGCAGCTGTGGTTTTGTGTTATTTGGATATAATCTGAGTTCGCACCTGAATATCCCAATCAGACAGCTTCCTCTTGCCTCCACAGTCACTCCTGTTGGATGTGGTTTTTCCTTTTTGGTGGTATACTGACATTACCCTTGATAATCACAAAGACTTGCTGTCGTAGTCACAGATGTGCCAGCAAGACATGAACCAACAATTTGTCCTCTTTTATGCACTGTTTTGTCACCCATAATGTTATGTGCGTTGCATTATTTTAAGTAGAACTGTGCTATTACTCTGCTAATTAATGCTCTTACTGGTGGAATGTGCAGTCTATATATATATATATATATGTATATATATCGTCACCTTAGAATTATAAGGTTCTATCTGACATTTGTGTCAATTGAGTTATTCACATATTATTTTTAAATGGCAACTTATTTACATTATGGGAAGTGTTTTTATAAGTTTTTTACATTTTAAGGCTTGAGACAATCGTGCTACCCACTGCGCCACTGCTACGCAAACGTTGAGATTATTTGCTCAATTTTATATTGTTAAAAAATAAATGAATATTTAAAAATTTGTATATTAAAAGTGAAATATTTTTATTTTTGTATATATAGTCAGTGAAACACTTTTCAGTGTTTAGTAAACTCATTTGCTCATTGTTTCTTTTAAAGTCTATAAGTTTAATATTAAGCCTTGAAGGGCAAATCCTTAATTTATTTCATGGAGCATATAATTCAATAAATATAATTCAACAATTTATTTAAAGCATAAAGTTTAATAAATATGAACATATTAATTAGATAAAATTAACAGCTACACTGGAAAAAGAATATTTAGTACAGCCTTGTATGCTTAATTTTAAAAGAAAAAATATTCATCCTAAAACATAAAATAAATGTTATAGAAAGCAAAATTTTAACTTTCTCAAGCATTATTGTTACAACACTAAACTATATATATATATATATTTTTGTATTTCTTGATCAGTAATGCTTCAATGAATGATCTGGCAGATAGAACCTTATAACTCCAAGTGGAAAATTACTTTTCAGAATGAAAAGGTTCTATCTGCATTTACCGTGGTTTTTTTACTCCAATTTGCAAATGTAAGAGAACTTTGATCATTTACATTTAGAGAACCCTTAGGGTCTCTGTCATGTTAATGTAGGAAAGAGATCTGTTACATACATGCTGTTTGCTATATAGAATGCAAAAACTTTGAAGCTCAATATCTCAACATCATTCAGAACGCAGACAGAACCTTATAATTCTAAAATGACGATATATATATATATATATATATATATATATATATATATATATATATATAGAGAGAGAGAGAGAGAGAAAGAAAGAGAGATAGAAAGCAAGAGAGATAGAGATAAGTGTGTGTGTACATATATATAAATAAATATATATAAATAAATAAATATATATATATATATATATATATATATATATATATATATATATATATATATATATATATATATATATATATATATGAGCAATATCACACGAGTAGCAGTGCGATATGGCTGTATATCAGCACTGGTGGGAAGCAGAAGCCGTTACTAATTCCCCAACGTCACTTTACGCTATAGAGAGTCATTCAAACACTAGCTCTAATGTCTAAAATGATGACGAAACAGCTGATTTTGCTCACACTTTAAGATTATGAGGCTGAACATGACATGAAATGCCATCCATCTACAGAGATCTCTTCATACAGTGTTACAGTCTACAGTATTTCTCTGTTGCAATCGGGATATCACAATAATTACCCCGAAAAAAGCAACGCAATCACTACCAGACTGCTGTTGCGTTTGCTATTAGGAAAAACGCTAAACACATGCAGACGTTGCTTTTTTCTTTCTGCCAACACAATACACATTCCTGATATGCGAGCAAATCGGTATAAATACAGCACTACAACATACAAAAGACAGAGATCGAACTAGAATATCACTTATTACCATACCTGCCAACATAACAGCATCAATATTCGTCAAACTGTAGTGACTCTCTGCTTGTTGCTGGCTGTATGTTGGTGGAGTAATACACAAAGGTAAAGGGTGAAGAGGCTTTTGTGTGATGTTACTGGCAAAATATCACACGGCTATCAGCATAGTGTATATATATATATATATATATATATATATATATATATATATATATATATATATATATATATATAAATATATTTAAAAAAAAAAAAATATATATATATATATATATATATATATATATATATATATATATATACTTTATTGATTTAGAACCAGAATGTAATCAGTTATTTCTGATATTTCCACTCTTGTGTGTTTTGTGCATGTAGGAGAAAGTGTCCAGACCTCTGCCTCCTCTCCCCGAAGATGGAAACAGTGCACAGAAAGACCAGAGCACACCAGCCAATCTCTCGTCCACTAACAAGAGCACAGACCAGCAGGTCACACACACTACTATCTGGAGAAACAACATATGCACACTTGCAGTAACCTCATATGTCCCATAGTTTTGTTCTTTTGAAATTTTACTGTCAGTAAAGCTTTGTTTGTGGGTTTGTTCATACTAAACACTGTATGACTTCCCTCACAGAATCGTCCACTGTCAGCCAGAGAGAGGAGAAGACTGAAGCAGTCGCAGGAGAACTCCACACAACAAGGTGTGAGGATTTCTGGGAATTCAATGTTATTTTAATGTAAATGAACAGTCCTTTGAGTCCAATGCAGAGCAGAACTGGACCAAAATAAAACTGTTAAATTATTATAAAACTAAATCAAGCTGGAAAAACTCCCTCTAGAATTATTAGCCCCCCTCCCCTTATATTTTTCCCCTAATTTCTGTTTAACAGAGAGCAGATTTTTTAAACACATTTCTAAATATAATAGTTTTTATAACTAATTTCTGATAGCTGATTTATTTTATCTTTGCCATGATGACAGTAAATAATATTTTTTAAGACACTACTATACAGCTTAAAGTGACATTTAAAGGCTTAACTATGGTTAATTAGAAATGTAAGGGTAATTAGGCAAATCATTGAATAACAGTGGTTTGTTCTGTAGACAATCGGACAACAATATAGCTTAAAGGGGATTATAATATTGACCTTAAAATAGTTTTAAAAAATTAAAACTGCTTGTATTCTAGCCAAAATAAAACAAGACTTTCTTCAGAAGAAAAAAATATTATAGGAAATACTGTGAAAGATGCCTTGCTCTGTTAAACATCATTTAGGAAAATAATAAAAATAATTATAATTAATAATAATTTTGACTTCAACTATAAATGCAATTTTTATTCTTTTCAAATATTCCCCAAGTTATGTTTAACAGAGCAATGACATTTTCACAGTATCTGCTGTATTTTTTTAATCAATTTTTATTTCTTTTAAATTGGCTGGAATAAATGCAGTTTTAAACAAATGTAAAACAACTTTTTAATGTCAATAGTATTAGCATCTTTAAGAATTACTGTTTTTTTTTTTTTTTTTTTACAAAAATTTATTTCTGTAATAAATAATAATTACGTAGAACAAAACACTTAAATATGCACCACTGAAATATGATGCCATTTAAAACATTTCTTTAATTTGTAAATATAAAACAATCAGTAACTACAGCTAAAACTTAAAGGAAAAAGCAGTAATGTTAATATTTTAATTAAAAAAATAGAAACACTACACAGAAAAAAGGGAAACTTTAAAACAAACTAATTATATTGGGTTTAACTTTAAAATGCATAAACAAATATATTTCAAGCAAAACTGAAATGACCTGTGTTTAGCACTTTGCATATGTTTTCCTTGCTCTAATGGCATTAAATAGATTAAATTACATTAAAATATACAGTTGAAGTCAAAATTATTCGCCCTCTTGTGATTTTTTTTTTTATATATATTTCCCAAATGATGTTTAACAGAGCAAGTAATTTTTCACAGTATTTCCTGTAATATTTTTTCTTCTGGAGAAAGTCTGATTAGTTTTATTTCAGCTAGAAGAAAAGCAGTTTTTAATTTCTTTAAAAACATTTTAAGGTCAATATTATTTTCTGCCTTAAATGATATTTTTTCTTTGAAAAAATTTGTCTTCAGAACAAACCATCATTATACAATGACTTGCCTAATTACCCTAACCTGCCTATTTACTCTAATTAAGCCTTTAAATGTCACTTTAAGCTGTGTAGAAGTGTCTTGAAAAATAACTAGTCAAGTATTATTTACTGTCATCATGGCAAAGAGAAAATAAAACAGTTATTAAAAATGAGTTATTAAAACTATTATGTGTTCTCTCTTTTAAACAGAACTTGGGTAAAAAAAATATACAGGGGGGGGCGAATAATTCTGACTTAAACTATAAGTCACTGTACTCCAGAAATACTAAGAATTCATTGTCGTTTTTCGAACCAGTATCACAGTATACTTTAGCATGCAAACACAATATGTTGAATTTATTATCAAACCGTTCACCTTACGATCCTCTCAAAAGCGCTCTGATTTTCATTGTGAAGCTCTTTTGCTGGATGAAAGTGTGCCGTTTCTGTCCATTCTGAATGCGCGAGGAGTTTGTAGAGTCGCCCACAGCTGCTGCATACATCAGTGCAGATCAAAGCAGATTCTGGACACTTTCACTGAATATGAATTCTTGCTTTTGTTTCTTTTTGAAGTCGTGTCCGCTGTCAAAAGGCCATCTTGTGATGTGCCCTCATTAGACAGTGAGCAGATACACCAGACTGACTGTCCGAGAGCTGCTAGAACAACAGTGGACACAACAAAGGTACGTCTCATTCTTACTGTCCAGTATCACAGAATCAGATTGTTATTATTTATTTATTTTTTACTTTTTATTTTTTATTTTTTTGCAATTAGGCTGATTTTACGACTCCCCTAGAGTTTTTTTTTTTACCATTTTTGAGTCCCTTCAGTTAATCTCTGGGCTTGGGGGGAGCGCTTTTACCTTAGCTTAGCATAAATCATTGAATCAGATTAGACCATTAGCATCTCTCTTTCTTAAAACACAACAAAAAAAAAGGTAAAAAAAAAAAGAGTTCGATAATTTTCCTATTCAAAGCTTGACTCAGTTTCATTGTGTACTTAGGGTGCATCTCAATCAGCACCCTTGTTCAGTTGTCAGTGCACTGATCAGGTCACTTTAAGTGTTGTCTCAATACAGGATATATGCCGGATTCCTAAAGGTAATTTCAATACCTTTTTAAGACTTTTTAAAGACCTTCTCAGAATATTTTAAGACCTCATCGCCACTTCATGTTCTCATCAGTGTTAAACCTTTAACTTATTAACAGTTGCTAATAAACAGTTGTAGTTAAATAAATCAGTGGAGCACAACCGTGCAACAGAACTCGGATAAGCTCGGAAGAAACAAAAATATAATAAAAGAATAAATGATTCGGTTGTTTCCAGCGACAGGCTTCAGCCACTGTTTAAACTCGTCTTCCTCCAACCAGGCAGGCCCGTGCAGAGACTGTTCAAAGGGCATGTGCAGAATAAAATTTTTGAAGACCGGGGGGAGGGGGGGTGGCATAGTTGTCGTTGTTATTTTGTCGCGCGCGTTCTGATCAGCGGTGTTGAGTAATACTGTAAAGCGGGAGAGCGTGCGTACTCAAGTGCGGTGTTGTCGCGCGCCTGCTGAAGGGTGGTATAGGGGGCTGGGGTGTTTTTTGATCATTTTGGAAGGGCACTTTCTATCCAAGACTAAAAAGGGCATGTGCACTGCACAGGTTGAGCCCTATGTGTGCACGTGCCTGCAACCAGGAGTACGCAAACTTACATTTACCCATTTTGCCTTCTGTTTCGTTACTTGTGGAGAGCGTCACATCACCTTTCTGCGTTTGTCACGAATTACGTGTCATCACATAGATGGAGGAGCTTCAACGGACACGCCCCGGCCCGAATCAATCACGTTGATCAAGCATGCCATAGTTAATATTAGACGTAAAATAAATATATCTATGCTTTTTGAAGTCAAACACTTTGGACAACGTCTGAACAAAATTAAAAACCTCGTGAAAACCTGTTAAAGACTTTTAATACCTTTTACGGGCCTTAATTTTCTTATAATTGGTTTATCAACTTTTAATACTTTTTAATACTTTGGTCCCACTTTATATTAAGTGTCCTTAACTACTATGTAGTTGCATCAAAAAATAAATACAATGTACTTACTGTGTTCGTTATGTATTTGAGAACACTTGTGGTGCTCTTGAGTTGGGATTGGGGTTGGGTTATGGACAGGTTTGGTGGTATGGGTAGGTTTAAGGGTGGGTTAAGGTGTAGGGAATGGTCAGCAGTGCATTTACCAATGTAATTACAGAAGTTAAAGATGTAATCACATACAGGTATTTAATCAAGCATAAGTACACAATAAATACATGTATTTACACAATAAGTACATTGTAACAAACTATTAATTCCTGTGTAAGTACATATTAGTTAAGGCCACTTAATATAAAGTGGGAACAATACTTTTACACTGAAACATTGGTGCCCTAAAATGTCCCACACCGCAGCAACGTGAAATCAGAGTACATGGATGCGCACTATGTGCCCTAACGAAAGTTCGAGAGCATGAAATATGGTTCATGTGACCAAAATCATCAAATGCAATGACAAATGAGAGACGTTTTCATAAATAAAATCTGTTATTTATTTATTTTTTATCACAAACGAACTAGAAAGGTTAGGAAAATTCTAGCAAACATTTCTAATTGTATTAATCAACGTTAACATATGGAAATGATTCGTTCTGTTGTTGTTTATAAACTCCAGTTTTGATGATGTACAATGAGCAGTTCTCATGTCACACTCAGTGTGTCGCAGTAGTGAACCAAGCTTATCGCTTGTCACGTTAGCGTGATCAAAACAGGAACAAAAAGGTGTGGATCCAAGTGCAGGTTTATTTACAATCGTGCAGCAAACAGAAAAAACAAGATGTCTGGTGTTCAAAAATAACAAAGTAACAAATAAACAGCAAAACAAGAAACTATAACAGAAACAGGATTAGGAACAAGACTAAGGTAACAACAAACTCGATATTCAAGGCTTACTAGAAACTGATGACAAGATAGACCAACGACGCAGTAACAAACAGAGGTGGAATGGTTGAATATATAGTCCAGGTAATCAACGGAGATTGGAGACAGCTGTGGTTGAAATCAGTGTAGATGACAGACCGGGTGTGTGCACGAAAGAATGTAAGGAAATGTAGTCTTTTTGGGCGCTGTAGTTTCACTCAGTGTCCATTGAACTACAGCGCCCTCAGGTGGTCACTGACAGTCGTGACAATCGCTGTCTTTACCAGTGCTGGAATCTGTGCACACGACCTACTGATGAACAACCTCGGGAGCCAGGGTCCTGATTGAGATGCAGCCTTGGAGAGATGGAAAATGAAGTTGCTGTTTTCTTAGCTAATATGGCTAGGAACTTTACTCTCACTCTGGTGTTGTAGTCAAGAAACTTTGCTGCCGTACCAATGACATTACGTGAAATGCTAACGGTCTAATCTGATTCAATGATTTATGCTAAGCTAAGCTAAAAGTGTTCCTGCTAGACCCACTGATCGGCTAAATGATTCAGAAATCATAAAACTCAACTGTTTACCTCTAGGGGGCTTGTAAGATAAGCCTATATCAAAACAAAAGTGTTCTTTTGAATGGATAGTTAGAGTAAATAATGCCAGAAGTTTATCTTTTGGTGAACTAACAATTAAATAAATATACTAAATAAAACCATCACTATGTATAACACCACCTAAAAATGCCAACTTTTTTCACCTGATCTGTTTTTTTAGGAGAGGAAGTCCTCAAGGAGACAGTCTGATGAAGACGAGTGCAGTTCCTCCACCAGCTCCACTGAACGCTCAGAGGGAGACTATAGAGAACGGTGAGACGAACTGAAAAACTTCTTTCAAAACAATTAATTATGCTACATTTTCGTTAAATCAATGCAGTGAGCCAACATCAGAATTCGATCATATTCCACCTACACTTACCGGCCACTTTATAAGGCACACCTGTCAAACAGTCTTGTTATTGCTAATTTATAATCAGCCAATCACATGGCAGCAACTCAATGCATTTAGGCATGTAGACATGGTCAAGACGATCTGCTGCAGGTCAAACCGAGCATCAGAATGGGGAAGAAAGGTGACTTAAGTGACTTTGATTGTGGCATAGTTGTTGGTGCCAGACGGGCTGGTCTGAGTGTTTCAGAAACTGCTGATCTACTGGGATTTTCATGCACAACCATCTCTAGGGTTTACAGAGAAAGGTCTGAAAGAGAGAAAATATCCAGTGAGTGGCAGTTCTGTGTGTGCAAATGCCTTGTTGATGCCAGAGGTCAGAGGAGAATGGCCAGATTGGTTCCAGCTGATAGAAAGGCAACAGTAACTCAAATAACCAATCGATACAACCAAGGTCTGCAGAAGAGCATCTCTGAACGCACAACACGTCCAACCTTGAGGCAGATAAGCTACAGCAGCGGAAGACCACACCGGGTGCCGCTCCTGTCAGCTAAGAACAGGAAACTGAGGCTACAATTCACACAGGCTCACCAAAACTGGACAATAGAAGATTGGGGAAACGTTGCCTGGTCTGGTGAGTCTCCATTTCTGCTGCAACATTCGGATGGTCGGGTCAGAATTTGGTGTCAACAGCATGAAAGCATAGATCCATCCTGCCTTGTATCAATGGTTCAGGCTGGTGGTGGTGGTGGTGGTGTAATGGTGTGGGGGAGATTTTCTTGACACACTTTGGGCCCATTAGTATTAATTGAGCATTGTATCAACACCACAGCCTACCTGAGTATTGTTGCTGACCATGTCCATCCCTTAATGACCACAGTGTCTCCATCTTCTGATGGCTACTTCCAGCAGGATAACACACCATGTCATAAAGCGTGAATCATCTCAGACTGGTTTCTTGAACATGACAATGAGTTCACTGTACTTAAATGGCCTCCACAGTCAACAGGTCTCAATCCAATAGAGCACCTTTGGGATGTGGTGGAACGGGGAGATTTGCATCATGGATGCGCAGCCGCCAAATCTGCAGCAACTGTTTGATGCTAACATGTCAATATGGAGCAAAATCTCTGAGGAATATTTCCAGTACCTTGTTAAATCCATGCCACAAAAAATTAAGGCAGTTCTTAAGGCAAAAGAGGCCCAAGCCGTAAGTCCAATACTAGTAAGGTGTACCTAATAAAGTGGCCGGTAATTATATATATTTAATGCATATGATTTGACTATATGGTGAGTATTCTGAAATCTTTATGAGACTTGCCAATAACAATGAAAAAAATCTAAATGCTTTCTTTTTTGCAGAAAGTGTGAGAGCAATGAGATGCAAGACTTGGTGCAGATGATGACGCAGACGTTACACATGGATGGTAGAGATGCATTATTTGAGCCTGACGGACCCAGATGTCACTCCACTCCGCTGCCAGAGTTCAAACTCAATAGGAAATACCGAGACACGCTGATGCTTCATGGGAAATCCAGAGAGGCGCAGGGAGATTTACAAATCACCGGCTTCCCTTTAGGTAAAAACACAACTGATGTTTTTTTCTTCCTCTCGAAGTCTCTGATCTGATTACGATGGGTTTCCTTTGCAACTTGTGATTAGAGAACGCATTTACATTTAAATTTGTCCACTTTCAACCAATGGCATTGCTTACAATTACTACCATTATTCTGCTTTTCTTTGGAAAAGTCATGGAATTGGGAATTGGGATTTTCCAGGCCTGGGGTCCATTCTTCATACCTCGCTTAAATGATCTAAGATGATTTGGCAGATCCTGGATCTTTTAATCTTGATAACTGATCTCTCGCTAATTTGGTTCTTCAAACAAGTTCGCGGATCAGATTAGAATGTCTGGATGAACTGATCTGAGATCGCTGCGTGTGTTGTGAAGGACAGATCTATTGATCCTCGAATTCATGATCAGCAATGCAGCGATTGCCTGACGGCACAGCAGCGTAATGACATCATCTGATTAATATTCAATTATCCATGTGAGCAAAATTACATCAAATTAGCAGTAAACGGCTTCTTAAATATGACACGCAATAACCTTCCACATTTGTTGTGAGCTGCAGGCTTTACACTTTCATGTGTCAAGAGTATTCATCATGTATTTCAATGCAAATCAATGTATTTAGTTCTACATTTAGAAAAGATTTTCTTTATAATAGTAGCCGTTTTTTAATCGGTGTAAAGAATAACTGGTTGTTTACAAAAGCATTTTCATGTTGGTAAAGGCGTCTGCAACTTTTGTGAAGCATCAAATCACTGGCATATTAACTGTCAAAACATGTTTATGACTGCATAAATGTATTATTTCTTTAAAAAAAAGTCACATGTTGTGCATTTCTATTATACACAATTTGTACTAAAGCGATCTAAAAAGTTCAAATCAATAAGTTTTCTCTTTGCACCACCAGGTGGCAGTCTTTGTACTTTCATTTCGAGGGTGCAGATTGCATAAGTTTTATTAATATTTATAACTTTATTTATTTTATTAATGACTATAACTTTATATATATATATATAGTTCAAAAATATGTACCATTTTCCCAAGTGTATATAACTACTACTGTAAGAAAATATCATAATTCAGTACATACTTTCTGTATTATCTTTGCTTGAACTGAGCCGATCTTATCCTGTTTATATGAATTGAACCTGCTCCCGACCAGGTTTGACCTAGCAGAACTGTTGCTATGACAACAACTCTCGGATCATCTTAGAAGAACGAAACGATCCTGGATCGTGTCAAATCGTCAACATCCAAATCCAGCTAATTGAGTAATCCACGTACGAAGAACGGACCCCTGGAAAACTTTAGGAAAAACAGAAAAACCCACAACGTTTTGCAAAAGAAAATGAGAGATTTTGTGTGTGTGCAGATGACAGCACGGGTCCTGCAAAGGTCAGGAGGGTGATTGAACACTTGCGCACTGATGTTCTGAAAGGACTCGGGGTGAAGCTGCTGGACCGAGCGCTGGACATCATGCAGGAGGAGGACGAGGACAAGAGAGAGGCAAGTCACCTACAATTGGGATTAACCAAGACATTCTTGTCTTATCTCCTGCATGTTGACAACAAATCAAAATGAAGACATGATACAGATGTAAAGTGATGTCCAGTAAAGCAAAATTTGAGATTTTTATTTTATTAAATTCAAAAAAAGTTATTCCAAAACATTATTTGTGTGGTATTTTGAGCTGAAACTTCAGGATCAACCTATCAATCACATGGGATTTCTTCGGTTCTGTTTTCCCTCCAGCTTTTGCTGCAGGAGCAAATGGGTGATGACAAATACAAGCAGTTCGCAGTGAAAGTGCGGCAGCTGAAGTTCTTTGAGGACGTCGCTTTTAAAGACTGAGCCGCTCCACAAACACTGATAAGCAATTATTACTGATGAGCAGAAAACACACACACACACTTCACTGAAGCCTCCTATCAACAATCACTGTTACCGTTGAATGCTTTTGTAAATGTATAGTGATGATAGAACACTAGATATGCAATGAAGCTGTTATTGCGCACCTTTATAGTCATCTAGGGGGATGTGAATCTATGCTGTGTAGAATCTTGAATTTTGAAAGAGACGTTGAGAATAGTTTTCCCTTTTCCTATTTTCTGGACTGCGTATTTATATTGCGAATAATGTAAATCAATGAGGAATTTATAATAAAATATCTTTTTAGGAAACTCTTTATTTCAGTCGTATTATTATTATTAGTTTCCCTGAGATGGGTTGCGGCTGGAAGGGCATCCGCTGCGTAAAAACTTGCTGGATAAGTTGGCGGTTCATTCCGCTGTGGCGACCCCGGATTATCAAAGGGACTAAGCCAACAAGAAAATGAATGAATGTATTATTATTAGGTAATTATTTAATTTGTTTACATTTCTGTTTTATGAATATTTGACATACTTCCGTTTTTAACATTAAACTATGATTGAAAGTAAGATTATATACAGTGAGGTCAATAAGTATTTGATCACCCTGTGATTTTTTAAGATATCCTACATAGAGATCATGGAGGGGTCTAGAATGTTCAGCATAGCTGCATGTCCACTGTGAGAGACAGAATTGTCTGATTTTTGAACAATTTATTTGTAAATTAGCATCAAATAAGTCCTCACCGGGTTTACACACACTTCAGAAGGGAGAACTTTTTGGTCTTAACTCCATTCGCTGTGTTTGGAGGAGGAATGATGAGTATCATCCCAATAATATTATACCTACAGTGAAGCATGACAATGACCCAAAGCACACAGCCAGGAAGACCAAGGAGTGGCTCTGTAAGAATCATATCAAGGTTATGGAGTGGCCTAGCCAGTCTCCAAACCTAAACCCAATAGAAAATCTTTGGATGGAGCTGAATGCTGAAAATTCGTGTTGCTCAGCGACAGCCCCTAAACCTGACAGATCTAAAGAAGATCTGATGGAGGAGTGGGTCAACATCCCTCCTGCACTGTGTGTGTAAACCTGGTGAGGACTTATTTGATGCTAATTTACAAATAAATTGTTCAAAAATCGTACAATTCTGTCTCTCACAGTGGACAAGCACCTATGCTGAACATTCTAGACCCCTCCATGATTTCTATGTAGGATATCTTGAAAAATCACAGGGTTATCAAATACTTATTGACCTCACTGTATATGCAATTACATGCATTTGTTTATATATTGCTTTATAGCTTTCATAAATGCTCAATTTTAGGTAGCAAGGATATGTAATTTCATTTATTTTAATGTACATTTTTACAAATGAGAAGATGCGGTAAAAATTAAGCTGACATATAGATTGGTTATTAAAATTAAAAGTGAAAACATTTGCGAAAATAACATTTAAAAATGACAGATTTTAGAAAGTTAGCATAACATAAATTGCTGTGTGCATGACTTGTATGCTATGTGGGAAATTTACAAAACACCACACACACACACACATATACCAAACACAGTTGTTTATTACATATTGCATGTATGAAGGTGAAAATAATCGAAAGGGTTTTCATATAGACTTTGTTTCTGCTGTATTTCTGCGTTGCTGTGCCGAATCCGCAGTAAAATCCCATCACTTGTGCTTCTTCTTCTTCTGGTTCTCCTGAGGTTTCTCCCGGGTTTCTGCAGGCGTCTCAGGTAAAGCCGGCTGCCAGTTCAAAGGGCTTTTTCTGTACATCGGCCACGGAGGAAGAGTAAGCTAGAGGAACAACACACACACACACACACACACACACACACTATTAAACACACTGCAGGCTTCAGTTTTAAGGATTGAGGTTTAAAAATTGAATGAGACAAGATAGTAAAGAATGTAAAGAAGTATAAGTGGACTCATACTAGTTGAATTATGTCTAATGGTAACTGTGTTGATACTGTATATATGGACTTGTCTCTACTCGTTCCTTGAAACTAAGGTGTGCAGTATGGATGTAATTTTATGGCATGGTGGCTTAGTGGTTAGCACTGTCACCTCACAGCAAGAAGGTCGCCGGTTCGAGTCCCAGCTGGACCAGTTGGCATTTCTGTGTGGAGTTTGCATGTTCTCCCCGTGTTGGCGTGGGTTTCCTCCGGGTGCTCCGTTTTCCCCCACAAGTCCAAAGACATGCGGCATAGGTGAATTAAATTAACTAAATTGGCCGTACTGTATGAGTTTGTGTGAGGGTATATGGTTGTTTCCCAGTACTGGGTTGCAGCTGGAAGGGCATTTACTGTGTAAAAAATATGCTGGATAAGTTGGCGCTGTGGCGAGCCGATAAATAAAGGGACTAAGCTGAAGGAAAATGAATAAATGAATTTATTTATATATTTCTTTTAATTTAATATGATTTTTTTACAGTGCGGTGAGCTCTGCTGTGACGTGAAGTTTCCTTTAGGATTAATAAAGTCTAAACAAACAAACAAAGTAGTGCAATTATAATTTTAAACAAATAAATAATGAATTAATATGAAACAATGAAGTAATATTGAGTAAAATGAGTAAGTATATGTGTAAATAAACTAAATAATAATAATAACAACAACAACAATAATAATAATAAAATATGATTGAATACGATGCAAATAAATAAACCAAAATTGTATATAAATAAATTTCAGTAATGTCAATTACATAAACACTAATTAAATAAAAAATATTGATAAAAAAATATTAATTAAAATAAATTAATTATATAGTGTGTGTAAATATTTAAAAATATATATATTTATAATAATTTCAACAGTATAAACGTACCAAACAGGACACGGTGAATCCAGCCAGCATTATGTAAACCGTCCATCCAAACTGCTGAACAATTAAACCGTAGATGAAGCCGATCGCCTGCAGGGTAAACACACATCAGACAGAGCACAAAAATCAACAAACATTCACATTACTACACAGTTTGTGAAAAAAATAATTTTTTACAAATATTTTTGTGTAACTTTCTGAGAAACTGAAGCAAATTATTATCAATAACAAAAATGGACGTTTTGGAAAACAGAAGAAATTAACTAATACACTTTTTTTTAAGGTGGATATATATATATATATATATATATATATATATATATATATATATATATATATATATATATATATATATATATATATATATTTAGTTTTTGGTGATATTATTGTGCATAGTATCATGATAAATAATTATTTATAATTTTGTTTGTGCATAATCTCACTTTAAATGTTCAGTGTTAATAAATAAGTTATTAATTAAACTTTTAAAACAAAAAAGATAAAGATTAAATAAAATCTAATTAAAACTAAACAAATATAAATAGGTTTTAATGTAAATAAGTGTTGATAAATTATTGTGAGTAGAAACAAATAATGTAATAGAATGTATTTATCATACAAATTATTAGTACAAATTAGTTTATTGTGAATACAACTTGAAGACAGCAACAATAATAATAATAATAATAATAATAATGTTTTATTTGCATGTGCACAATATTAGTATAAATGCTTTTTTTCAATTTGTATGTACATAATATCTATAAATATCTATTTAAAAATTGTATGCGCACAATATCACTGTAAATAAATTTTTGTATTTGTATGTGCATATTAATGTGCATAATACATCATTATAAATGTTTTTTTTTTTTTTGTATGCGGAAATCACTAAAAATCTTTAAAATGTTTATATACATTATATCATTATAAATGTATTTTAATTTATTTTTATTTTAATGTGCATAATATCACTATAAATGTGTATGATATCTAGATTTAGTAAAGACGCAAACAGCGTTACTCACCGCTGACACCAGGATGATTCCTTGGAAAATCTGCTCAGCGAGTTTCTGTCCTTTATAGTCCTGCAAATAATCAGTGGGCATAATATGAGCATTCATATTCAGTTCAGGTAGTAACTCACATACACTGCTGCCCTATACAATAAAACATGGTCACAATATGACTATATTAAACAAATAATAATAAGTTAGTGATTGAACATTAGTGGCACAGTGGTTAGCACTGTCGCCTCACAGTAAGAAGGTCGCTGGTTCGAGTCCCGGCTGGGTCAGTTGGCATTTCTGTGTGGAGTTTGCATGTTCCTCAGGGTGCTCCGATTTTCCCACACAGTCCAAACACATGCGGTATAGGTGAATTGAGTAAACTGAATTGACTGAAGTGTATAAGTGTAAATAAGTGTGTATGGGTGTTTCCCAGTACTGGGTTACTGGGTTACAGATGAAAGGGCATCCGCTGTGTAAAACATATGCTGGATAAGTTGACGGTTCATTCCGCTGTGGCGACCCATGATAAATAAAGGGACTAAGCCGAAGGAAAATGAATGAATGAATGTTTGCTTCAGATATGCAGTTTTCCAATATTGATGTTAAAAATTCGATGTTAAACACGACCTGTGGATATTAACACATTCCTGAAAAATAGATCAAATTAAGTGATTTTATTAGTTTAGTCGATCGTTACTGATCGCTTTTGCCAAAAAGATTACGATCAAAAAATACACACTGTTAAAATCTATTGTTTGCTTCAGGTATGCAGTTTTACAATCAAAATATCGACATTAAAAAATTAATTGTGGATTTTAAAACATTCCAGAATAATGTGTTAAACTGAGTGATTTATTTGTTTAGTAAGATATTGATCTTTTTTTGGTCAAAAAGCAATGAACTTCTATGAATATGTTATGTTACATGTCATTTTAATGCTCAAGTAAGTGTGGAATTACGTTCTAGAGGTAAAGTTGGTTTTATATTCGGATATTCAGACTTTCTCCTTAATATTATAATTTCAGAAAAGTATTGTTTGCTAATTGTAAATAGGGAAATGATATTAGCAGAACATGACTATCAAAGTACAACATTGTTGACAGTGAATTAGATAGCGTTATGTTGTTTACAAGTCTCGCATGCTATTTCCGTTTGAGCATTCAAAGTAGCATGGTAAACATTATAGAGACTGCTAAATGAACGAATGTGCGAATATAAAACCAACTTTACCTCTATAATTAAGTTAACTCAATAATTTTTAGTTTAATAAAGTTGGAAAACAAGCCTGAGAAAAAAAAACTGAGGACGAAAATACAGTTTGGCAGTGTACTGTCGCATTCAGCACATATCAACCGCATAACATAAGGTACATTTAAATACTGGATGAATATATGTAATTACGTTATAATTATGCTGGTAAATATTATATAACGTTACCGTTAGAATTGACTCCCAATGCTGCACAATTGACTGAATTCGTTGACATGTAACTTTAGTTTTAATATCAGCAGTAACTAAAACGCCTTTTTATTTATAATTTTATTTATATTTTGCTTAAATTGCTTCTGCAGGATGTCGCTAATGCACGTTAGCTGCTAACATATGTCAGGAACACCGCCGAGCTCACAAAATAAACAAACGCACGCTGTAATACAATAATGCAGCACAAAAGCAGACTCACCATATGGGTTGGTATAGATTTAAACATTGAAAGCATTTTGAAATGACAGAATAAAGCTGCAAGATAGTCCAGACGAGGAGGATGGTTTCCTGTTTGAAAGTGTGTACGTAGAGATCTGAAGGACCCCTTTGGAGGAAAGGGCTAGAAGGGAGACAGTTGCGGCCGGTAGTTAACGATAAATATTTAAAATATTTGATAAATTATCCACTAACTGTATTTTATTTACGTCACTCCTACCCGAACCCTAAATCAAACCCTCGCTGTAATGTTAAAATATCTATAATTGGTGTACAGTGTCACAAAATCTATGCTATATTAATTTGAGTATCCGCAGCTGTATCCCATCTAGACTTTACCGGCTAAAAGGCGCAAACCAATTTAAACTGCCTCTCTTGTGAGTGAATATTACATATCTCGTGACAATTGTGGCGTACATATTTAAATAATAAAAAATTGGTGCAAATATAAATTAAATAGAATGTTTTTAAGCAGGCAGAAATCTGGGCGCACATTTTAGATCAGATACGTCATCCGCCGCTGAAATTATCTGATCTGTCACTCATAGGGAACGACTCGGACAAAAGAAGTAGTGTTCATGACTCGAATCTTTTGTATCATTTCATTTCACAGACACATGTTAACAGCTAAATATGCCTACTTTTATTTACTTTATCTACTTTTATATTTGTGTTTTTACTGGAATAGCGTGTTGAATAAAACTTAACATCATGACACTGTACTTTTTTGCACACTAACTAGTTAGCTTAAATTAGCTTCTGTTGTGCACAGCACTATTTATTATTATTATTTTTTAAAACCAAAATTACAAGGGGAAAAATGACTTTAGAAAGAGGATTTTAATAATTATTATATTACCACACAGATTGGTATTCATTCATTCATTTTCTTTTCGGCTTAATCCCTTTATTAATCTAGGGTTGCCACAGCGGAATTAACCGCCAACTTATCCAGCATGTTTTGCGCAGTGGATGCCCTTCCAGCTGCAACCCATCTCTGGGAAACATCCAAACACACTCATTCACTATGGACAATTTAGCTTACCTAATTACACGTTACACGTTAATAAAAATTAATGTAATGCATAATTTAATATAAATTATATGAATAATACTCTGTAAAATTACTGTTTTTACATTACTGTGGTGGTTGGGGTAGGGATAGACATAATAAAGTTAAATTTAATGGTAATTTAATAATAACCTGAATAATACTTGGTATAATTACTGTTTTTAGATGGTTGGGTAAGGTTAGAACTTTATTAATAATATAAATAATACTAGGTATAATTACTCTTTTACATTACTGTGATGGTTGGGGTAGGGTTAGACGTTAATAAAATTCAATTTAATGGGTAATTTAATAAATAATATAGATAATACTATGTGTATTTACTGTTTTTACATTACTGTGATGGTTGGTTTTAGGATTAGGGTACGTGTATACGTTAATAAAGTACTATTAATACATATTTAATTAATATAAACAATTATCGGTAACTTCCGGTCGCAGCTGTATCTCTTATAGCAACGAGTCGTTTTCTCGGACGTGTTCCACTCCGATTTGTTCACTTCAAAGATTTGTTCACACACAACTTTTGCCTCATACTGTTGCGTTGAATCCTTCATTATGCTATATGCATCAGCGAAAGTCTTTTTCGGCAGCGGTGTGTTTTCTGCAGGACTGAAGGGTAACTGGGATTGTTGATGTTGAGTTGGCGTTTTGGATGAAGAGCCGGAGAGAGTCCAGTTTCTGTTACATTTAAGGTTTGACCTCTTGCACTTTCCAAGGCTTTGTGTTTTACCTCGTGTGGAGTTTCTCGCATTACTGTGATTCAACATTCTTGAATATCCACATCAGCCCAAAGTTAACTATATATTTCTGTCAGTTTACTTGCCTTGTACTCATGCTAGTGTTTGTTTTGATTCAGAGTTTAAACTGAAGGGCTTTTAATCCAGTGCCATGACTGTACGCAGAGGTAACTATATTTTACACGACTTTCACAAACTATTTACCTAAAATTGTTATATTTATACTTCAACATTTGACATGTGTCTTCTTCTTTTCAGTGAATGTGGTTATTCTTGTGCTGCTTGTTGTTGCCTTTTTAATCGTTTTGCATCGAAATCTGCTGAATCTCAACGATTTCCTGAACCAAGAGACTTCAGGTATGCAGACTCTGATGTTGTTTAAAGGTTTTTAATAGAATAGTTCATTCAAAATAATGTAAATATATTCACTTTTTAATCACCCACAAGTGGTTACAAACACACGGATTCTAAAATCTAGTGATCACAGATGGTGAGAAAACAATAGTATGACATGTTTCCATCTTTCTTTGAAATATCTACTTTGGTGTTCAACAGAAGACAGAAGCTCAAATAGGAATCTGACTGTATAATGATTTTAAAGGCATTCAGGCTTAAGAAAATGTACCGTTTCTAACTTTAACAACGATGACTTATATTGAATATATTCGCATTTGTATTGTTCAATTACATAATAATACCTGAATGCTGTTAGACTTGGACAACTTTTTAAAATACACACCGTTTATTTCAATTGTGTCTTTTTCATTATTACACTTATTAGATTTTAGATTTAATGCAGATGCATTTCACTACAAAATCATCCCAATCAATCGAAAACAATACACTACTTGACAAAAGTCTTGTTGTTGATCTCAGTTGTAAGAGCAACAATTAATAACTTGACTTCTAGTTTATCATTTGGAAAAGTGGCAGAAGGTAGATTGTTTTCAGATGAATCGTCTGTTGAACTGCATCCCAATTATCACAACTGCAGAAGACCTACTGGAACGCGCATGGACCTAAGATTCTTACTGAAATCAGTCAAGTTTGGTGAAGGAGAACTCATGGTTTGGGGTTACATTCAGTATGGGGGCATGTGAGAGATCTGCAGAGGGGATAGCAACATCTTCAGCAGGATAGCTTCCACATCCATGTTTCTGTAAGCAAAGAAGGTGCTCCAGGATTGGCCTGCCCAGTCACTAGACATGAACATTATTGAGCATGTCTGGGGTAAGATGAAGGAGGAGGCGTTGAAGATGAATCCAAAGAATCTTGTTTGACTCTTGGAGTCCTGCAAGAACACTTTCTTTGCCATTCCAGATAATGCCGAGTTCAGACTGCATGATTTTCAAAGTAGTCTTGTCACAGATGTTTTCACACTGTGTGACTATCTGGGCTTGCGTTTCGTCTCTGCTTTGTTTACACTGCAAGATGGATTGGCGACAGGGACTTTCACATTGCATGACTTTACTATAGGAAGAATCGCAGACAACTTCGTCCAAACTACGTCTCACAGCCAAAAACACGTCGTATATCTTTTGTTATTAACTACATAATGAGAAAGAAGCCTTTAATGGGGTAGAAAATGTCCATATTTGCTCACCTGGGTTTAAAGGGAATTAGCCATTTCTCCTCAACATTGATAATAAACTAATTTCTTTCTGTATGAAACGTCAAACAGACACGGTTGCTCCTGAGTCCTGTCAAACCTCCACTAGTTTTTCCTCCATTTCGTGGGTCCAAATAAACCGAAAAAGAGCGCTGTTAACTTCTCCCGCTGGCCTGCAGCAGGTATATACACACGCACACACAAGTAAATGCCGCTCTCTCATTGGCTGTAGGTGATCGCTGATGTTATTTTCAGTAAAAACTCAATTCACACGGCATGATTTGAATCGCCGACAGCTCCAGATATTCAGCACGCCAAATATCTCGCAGGCATCGGCGGCTCATCGGTGATTCTCTCAGATCGCGTCTTTGATAGTTCATACTGTGTGATTGTCACTCACGTGCACGAGCACCGATTTGCCTGTGATTTCAGGCATTTGTCTGCGATTTCTCAAAACCTGTCAGCGTGCCAAAATCGGGGCTAAAATCACGCAGTCTGAACTAGGCATTACTTTATTAATAAGTTATTTGAGTCATTGCAGAGATGTATGGATGCAGTCATATTTTATTTTGGTCCAATAAGCGTAATCCAGAGGCCGTTGCCTTTCATATGAGCCTCTGCTGATACGTAATGTAAGAGCCAGTTATGCATAATTCATTTGTGATAATAATTTAGTTAAAAAGGTTAAAACGTGATGGAAATTGATATTTAAATATAATAAGAATTTATTGTGATTGTATTATCTAAAATGCACAATTTAAAAACTTTTACTTTGGTATTTTGGCTTCCGACAGTAATTCGTCATAAGGTCATTAATGTATATGTTTAAATCCGATTGCAGTTATGAATGTTGGAAGCAACACAGTTTTTTGACCGAGCTATATCGAGTCTATTGTACCTTTATTTTTGTTTGCATTTCTTCAGTAAACCCTTTTTAAAAGAAGATTCGGTCTTCCTCGCGTTTTTTCAAATACTGGTTGTTGGATTAGAAGCTGCATAAGCATGTGCACGAATGGTGTGCCTCTACACCAAATGATCAACTAGAAGTCAAATTCATTCATTTATTCATTTTCTTGTCGGCTTAGTCCCTTTATTAATCCGGGGTCGCCACAGTGGAATGAACCGCCAACTTGTCCAGCAAGTTTTTACGCAGCGGATGCCCTTCCAGCTGCAACCCATCTCTGGGAAACAGAAGTCAAATTATTATTTGTTGCTCCTAAAACTTGGAAAGGCGACAAGACTTTTGTCAGGTAGTGTAGATTTTTCCGAATAAAGATAATCAAGTCACCTGAAGAAATTCTGTATTTATATCACAATATATATCACAGAATAACAAAATATAGCAATGTCAATTTTTCCAATGTCAAGCAGTCTTCCCTTTAAGCACCCTTGATGCACTTCAGTGACTTTCCTGTTTATTTTTATTTTTTTTCGTTGTTTTTTTTCAGACACAGTGCCTGGGATGATTTTGCCTTTTGAGACGGACTTTCTGTTGGGTCGTAAAGCCATGAGATCAGGAGAAGAGATTCCTGTGCTCATTACGGCTCCAGAGGAGAGACTGGGAGCTGCAGTCACCGCCATGAACAGCATCTACCGCAACAGCAAAGCTAATGTCGTCTTCAACATAGTGACTCTAAATGAGTCTGTGGTCCATCTTAGGTACTCCTATTATAATCCTTGGAAATGGATATTGTCGAATTATTGTTAGTGTTATGTTGCAGGAGATTTCATTAAGAATCCAAATTAGGACAAAGAGCAAAATAGAGGCATTTAGAAGAACTCGTGAAGTGCCTAAAATGTGCATTTTTATTAGATGTTTGCCGTAACTTCAACTGAAACACGGAGGGCGGGACATAATGTAGCCCCTCTCACTTAAAAAAAAAAGCCAATAGCGTTTAATCACCACTGCCAGTAAGTGTTTGAGCTAAAGCAGGGGTGTCAAACTCAATTCCTGGAGGGCCGAAGCCCTGCACAGTTTAGTTCCAACCCTGCTCCAACACACTTACATGTAGGTTTCAAACAAGCCTGAAGGACTCAATTAGTTTGATCAGGTGTTTTTAATTAGGGTTGGAACCAGAGGTGGGACCAAGTCATTGTTTGGCAAGTCACAAGTAAGTCTCAATTCATTGCCCTCAAGTCCCGAGTCAAGTCCCGAGTCAAGACAGGCAAGTCCCGAGTCAAGTCCCGAGTCAAAGGCAACAAGTCTCAAGTCAAGTCCAAAGTCCTGCAGTTTGATTTTCGAGTCTTTTCGAGTCTTTTTAACAGAAAAATAAAATATATACAGATTAGGTATGGTTGTAAGATCTGTATTAATTAAACAAACCTTTTTTTATTAAAGAACATTGCTCAGATATATAAAAATACAAATGCAATTTTCTGAAAAAGTACTGAACAGTGCTGCGTCTCGTCTCCACAGCATAATGCACAAGAACGAGTTCCACCAAAAAAAGACTCCATTTTGCCTCACATCACACAGAAATTGCAGGTCTACTGCTGTCTAATTCATTAAGTTTAGTTGTGCTATGTTATGTCTTCGGTGATCAACTTGTGATTAACCAAAATTACATAACCTCAATGTGGTAGCAGTAGACCAACTCCTGTATATGCTGCAAAGTTAAATTGAGTGAAATTGGAATTTTGTCAATTGAATCTCGTGTGTGCTGAAGAGATGGAGTAGCAAATCCGTCTAGCAGCAATGTAAAATGGTAGCACATATTGTTAATGAAGTAGGCTACTTCATACAAACAATAAAGTTGTTTTCTTCACATAACGTTGAAGAGCTTTGCTCTCTACCTTGTGTGATGCTCGTGCACGGATTTCCTCTGTTTGTGGACAAAACTGATTGCGAGTTCTCAAATTTTCTCTCGCTCTCAAATATGCACTGCTCACACACAAATTTTCTTAAGCGCTCTCAGAGATTATATGCAAACTCACAATTTGTGTAGTGTTCCCTCTTCCTTTCATGCTTTTTGATATGATTCATATTGCTGCACTGTTTAATAACAATAACCAAAATACTAAAATAGACATATATTAAATGTTTAATCTAATAAACCATAACATTTTTGGTTGTTTTATATGATGAGATATTTTCAGTTTCAAACACTTAAAGACAGAGAATAGACCAGTGGTGCCCCCCTGAAAATTTGCTTAAGGGGGGCCAGAAGAGGCCAGCTACGTCAGTGGCACCAATCAATCCACAATAATTTAGTGGCTGCTATTTATTTATTGAAATATTGCATTGTATTGCATTTATGTAAGTAGATTTAAATAAATAATGTCAACAGCAAAATCATATCGGGTTGGCCACAGGGGTGGCTAGAGTTTACACAGGGGTAACACCCCTTGTAAAAGGGTTTTCACCACTATAAGGCACCCCTGGAATAGATGTTGGATGTAAAGAATACATTTTATTTTAAAAGAATTTAAACAAAAACTAATGCAAGCAGAAATGTAACTGTGATAAAAATAAGGAAACACTTGATAAGGTATTATAGCCTACTGTACTATTCACTCTTCAAATAAATCTCACTATTAATCTCATTTTATCATGGCAGCTAAAATAAAGTAAACTAGTGTCTGCTGGCTTCCACTTTACTGATGAGATTGTGGAGGACATTTTCCATGTCATCCTCTTCATTTTGAGGAAAGCTGTTCCACAGGGCCCCTGAACACGTATATTGGCATGTACTGTGTTTTGAACAGTAGCCTACTACAGTAAAGAACTTCAATTGATCAGTTGTGGTAATACTATAGTTGCTATGGTAACACAAGTGTAATATAAACAAATTACCTAGTGCTGTATTATTTTACAATATAGGGTATTTTATACTACAAATCACTACACTTTACTGTAGTAAAACTACACTTTGTATTATTTTATCTGTTCACTATTGTTAATACTACTATAATAAGTATAATACAAGTATACAACAAGTATAATACTCAAAAACACTAGAATTTATTAAAGAATTTACCTTAACCTTTTAGTTTTTTGTGTATTGTTAATAAATAGTAAAGCAAGAAAGAAACCATATCAACATTCTTGGAATAACCCTTCGCTAAGCCTCGCCCTCCTTAGTTACTGTTGCTACGCCTGTCAAGCTTTCATGCCTGGCACATCTCTTACAGTGTGTATGCGCTGGTGTCAGACATTCCCAAGGATTTAATTAGTCATTTTTGGCAAACAGGTGAGATATCTGAGAAAGCCAGACAAAAGAGGACTGCAGTATACATTACAGGGGTATATTCACAACATAATAGCAACTGATTAGAAAATAATTTTATCAAAATTGAAGCAAGGTTGGCCTAGCCACCTCATACGCTGAACATTCAACAGCATAGTTCATGCACAGCAGGAGAGGTGAAAGTATAAAATAATCTAATAACCTAAGAAACTGATGGATTTGTGCCGAATATTAGCATCATTGACCCATAACAGTGTACAGTACCTATTACTGTCAGCATGTTTGTGTGCTCTTTATCCAGTTTTTATTCAAATTTGCAGTTAAGTGGAAGAAAAAAATTGAAATGCACATTAAAGTATAAATAACAGAAGTGAACAAATAGATTTTTCCTACCAGCAAATATTAGTGTATGTATTAATATGCGTTACAATAGCGAGGGTTTAAACTAAGCAGTGCTCACAGGGTTCAACGCTAAGGATTTTTTCTACTGGCCCGATCGGGCCAGTGGTTCTGATTTTTACTTGCCCAGCCCAAATTTTCACTGGCCCCACCAAAAAAAAAAAAGAAGTTAATCGCTATTTGAATGTGCGTGTGTGTGTGTGTGTGTATATATATACACACACACACACACACACACACACACACACAGTTGATTTCAGAATTATTAGTCCCCCTAAATTATTAGCACCCCTGTTTATTTTTTTCCCCAATTTCTATTTAACAGAGAACAGATTTTCTCAGCACATTTCTAAACATAATAGTTTTAATAACTCATCTCTAATAACTGATTTATTTTATCTTTGCCATGATGACTGTAAATAATATTTTACTAGATATTCTTCAAGACACTTCTATACAGCTTAAAGTGACATTTAAAGGCTTAACTAGGGTAATTAGGTTAACTAGGCAGGTTAGGGTAATTAGGCTAGTTATTGTATAATGATGGTTTGTTCTGTAGACAGTCTGAAAAACAATTAGCTTAAGAGGCTAATAAATTTTACCTTAAAATGGTTAAAAAAAAATGTTTTTATTCTAGCCAAAATAAAACAAATAAGATTTTGTTCAGAGGAAAAAATATTATCAGACAAAATATAAACATTTCTTTGCTTTGTTAAACATCATTTAGGAAATATTTTAAAAACAAAAAACAAAAGGGGGCTAATAAATCTGTATATATATTTACGGTAATTTTTAAAATGTTTAAGGAAAACTATTCAGTTCATCAAGGCTATATTTATAAATGTAAAAAAGGTGTAATTGTTAAATATTTATTAAAATTTTAAATAACTGCTTTGTTATTGTATTTAGTTTCAAATAAAATAATTACTCCAGACATTATTGATTTTATAACTATTACCATTAATAAATATAATAATAATTAATATTAGTGATTTCTGAAGGATCATGTGACTGGAGTAATGAAGCTGAAATCTCATCTTTAAAATCACTGGAATAAATGAATAAATTAAATGATAAACTACTTTTGAACAGTTATTTTATAGTGCAACATTTCACAATTTGTATTTATGATGAAATCATTGCAGCCCTGGTGAGCAGAAGAAGCTTGTTTTAACATATTTAATCACACTGACCCCAAACTTTTGTGCATTGTGTATAGAATATTTTATAAGTGAAAATGTGCACTTTAATTTTAACAACCCACAGACATCGTCACCAAATACAAATCGAGGTCAGACTTTCTCATATATACAGAGCCTCATTTCAATTGTCAGGTTTTGTAGAAATCGATCAATTGAATTAATCAATCTATTAAAGAAACGTTGACTATAATTCTGTATTTTAAGCTTAATTATAGAGAAGACATAGCAGATGAACCGAGACTGCATTAGATCAATGTAAATCTTTCTTTCGAGCTGTCAGTGCGGAAATGAACAAAACAACAGGCCTAATACAACATATTATACGATTAAAATATGGAAAAATTAACAGATAGTAATTTCGGTCAATTTTCCTGACGGATAAACCGAGATCAGGCTGGACAAACAGCTCTCGGTAATATTTCAGCATGCTTTCACTTTCGCATTTACCGGTAAGAATGACATCTCGCCCTGCTCATCATTCCCTCTTCATATAGCCGTATATATGGCTATTACATGATCATGATACACTGTGATATAGCCTGGGTCGTTAGTTCGTTGCATTGTTTTGTTTTCTCGCTACAATCGATACGCTCAATAGGACAGAGACCGCGTCTCATTCAGGCGATCTTGGACTGATTGATTTGGCGCGGATGCGAGCGCAACTGCTGGATATATGCTTAAAAAACGCGCTAACGGGTGAAACGAGACAGATTCCGAAACAAACGTCTATGTGTGAAAGCACCGTAAGATTGTATTTGCACACAATTGACAGACAGTCGCAGCACGCAGCTCTGGCTCGATCTGGCAGGCAAAAAGGCAGCAGCTGGCCCGATCGAGCCAGTAACATTTTGTACACTGGCCCGAGTGTCTCGCACGCTGGCCCCGGGCCATCGGGCAGTCCTTATTGTCGAGCCCTGGCTCATAATATCGAGTGGAAAAAAAGAAAAAGACCGCTGGAAAGCATAACCTGCTTTGTTTTTTTTTTTGTTTTTTTTTAAAGAAACACAGTTTAGATCTGTTTAGGATAAGAGGAGTGTGAGTTATTGCCACCTATCATTGAATGTGAATATCGAAAACAAAACCAACTTAGCTTAACTCCTTTACCGCCCCTCACACAGCTTGATCCACGCTGGCATTTCTCCTCTTGGGCTTTGGTTTTGAAAAGGGAAAAAATCCCACCACCCAGTCCAAACTTTTAGGATAGCGGGTGTCAGATTTTCACAATCCAATTGCGCAACGATTTGGCTTGTTTCCCTCGCTCGAAAGCTTGACAGAGCCTCTGCCCGTAGCTACGATTGGTAAGCCGCGATTGGTGGGTGGCGGTTTTTGGGCGTGGCTTAGCGAAGGGTCAGTTTAACAGGAGGATCCCATGAGAGCAAAAGCACTAAAGGTATGAGACGCCATCGTAAACAAAAGTCAAGCGAACGCAAAGAGACTGAATGCACGAGAGAGAGAGAGAGAGAGAGAGAGAGAGAGAGAGAGAGGTGTATGTTGTATGTGAGAGAGAGAGAGAGAGAGAGAGCGAGTATTGGCACGCGAGTATTGGCTCGATCTCAAGTTCAAATTCAAATTCTCTCTGCGTTTGCTTGACTTTTGTCCACTCCGGCGCCTCATAGTAGTCACGTTGGATACTGTCGAATCAAAACAATCTACCGTGCTTCGATTGGACGTCATGCCGAAAGCGCGCATGCTCACACACACGCGCGCGCGCGCATGCTGTCACACACAAGCACACATAAACAGAGAGAGAGAGAGCGGTCCATGTCAACATACTTTTTTATCGTTGGGCTTTTCATGGGAAGCAGCAAGTCTTTACAAGTCAATAGGGGCAAGTCCTAGTCAAAGTCCAAGTCATTTATGTTCAAGTCCAAGTCAAGTTGCAAGTCTTTTTATATTTTGTCAAGTCGAGTCTAAAGTCATCAAATTCATGACTCGAGTCTGACTCGAGTCCAAGTCACATGACTCGAGTCCACACCTCTGGTTGGAACTAAACTGTGCAGAGCTGCGACCCTTTTGGAACTGAGTTTGACACCTGTGAGCTAGAGCATCAAATGTGAAGCATCTTGAAGGGGGCGGGGCATGTTACACACTGAGGGCATTTGATTGGTCGGAAGATTTGATGAGAAACTGAAGTATGAGGTGACGGGAATAAAACCATTGATTTATTTAGCCGGAAGTGACAAACTACAAGCTTTACATGTGTACATCAGTTTTTTATCTTCTAAACACAAATTTTGACACTTTTTTTGGTGCACACTAGCTTATAGATGTTCTAAAAACTGACTATACTGATACTAAACATCTAAAACTTTAATTTCATGGGAATTTTAAAGAGATTCAAACAAAACTGAAAATTCTGTCTTCATTTTTACCCTTCGCTTGTCATAAAACTCCTAAAAACCATGCTGTTTCGTTTATTTTAATCAATAAACAAGAGTACTTTTCTCCTTTCAGTACATGGTTAAGCAAGACTGACTTGAAACACAAAATTATCGTCTTCGATCCATCGATCCTCTTGGGAAAGATTCCTACTGATGCTCAGAAGATGGAGACCGTGAGGCCGGTAAACATATATGCATTTATTTCAATTGAATTGTATGGTGTGGAGCAAAAAAATGCAAATTATTCTTCATATCTATGCCTTTATCTTATTTTTCAGTTGACGTTTGCCAGATTCTACATGCCAGCTTTCTTACCAGATGCAGAAAAGGCTATATACCTAGATGATGACGTGATTGTACAAGGTAAAGTGCATAGTTTGTAGTTTTTAAAAAGATAGTTCACCCAATTTTTTTATTTAAACCATCTTTATTTTTTTATTCTATGTTAAACACAAAAGAAGATATTTTGAAAAATGATGGAAACTGGTAACCATTGACATCCATAGGAAAAACAAATACTATGGAAGTCAATGGTTACAGGTTTTCAGCATTATTCAAAATATCTTCTTTTGTGTTTAACTGAACAACTTAAAATATAGCTGTTGGAACAAGTCAAGAGAGAGTAAATGATGACAGAATTTTCATTTTTGGGTGAACTATCCCTTTAAATACCCCAGAATTTACATCTAGGTCTAGGTTACCTTAACAGTATTTAATGTGTCTATCACCACTAATTAAATAAGTTACTAAAATACATATAATTTATATTAAAGGTTTAGTTCGGGGGTGTGGATTAAAATAAGAATTACTCTGCTTATTTTTTTTGGGGGGGGGGGGTTACCATATTTTACAACTAGTTAAGTCATCTTGAGGCACTCTAATATGTACAAACAAATAAAACAATTTTACGAGGTGGCAATTTTGTATGAATTTTCATGAAAATGTATTTCTTTTTAGAAAAAAAGTAATCTAAAAACTAATCCTGTTGTGTAATTTATATTTTTTAGTAATTACATTAATTGTGACATTGTTACAAAGACACTAAGATAAAGTGTAACCAAAAACAATATATTTTTTAATATAAATATTTTTTATTTTTGAAGGAAAGGAAAATGTGCGTACAACAGTAAACACTAGTTCACTTCTTTCCATTTTTGATGTAACCCAAGCCCTATGCCCAAGGTCTAAACATCCCAAGAAAGTTTAACACCATAATAAGGGTCAAATATAAAAATGATAGAGTCTGGAGTCATAACAGCAGTAATTGTATAATTTTGTAGGGGACATTCGGGAGCTGTTTAACACCAGTCTTAAGTCGGGTCACGTTGCAGCTTTCTCAGAGGACTGTGACTCTGCTTCCTCTAAAGGGATCGTCAGAGGAGCCGGAAATCAGGTATGACTATTCTGCACTGATCTCATCTGCTTCACTCTGTACATACAAAACAGTGGCTGTCGCCACTGCCTCGCATGGTTCAGGATTGGTAGAGCTACGCATCAATGAATTTGCTCTTCAGTGTTTGAACTCTCAGTAATGATTAAATCACACTGAACTGAGCTAAACTGAACTGAACTTAAACACTAAAACCTGGACCACACTGTTCCAGTTACTATGACCATTTATGTGAAGCTGCTTTGACACAATCTACATTGTAAAAGCGCTATACAAATAAAGCTGAATTGAATTGAATACAAAACAAAATTAGCAAAAAGACAAATTAAGGAAAGGCAACAAAAACATGCAGCAGGTTATCTGGAGGTAGCCATTATCTGGAGAGCTAAAAAGAATTGCAATTAGATTTTCCCAAAATTGTGCAACTTTTACCATGTGTTTTTAAATACAGCAGGGAAAATTAGTATTGAAAACATCACCGTTTTTCTACAAATTTACAAATGAAATTATGTTTAATAAAATGAAATGAAGCAGGAAAAAAGGATTGAATACATGAAGAAAGGGAGGTGTAGAAAGGCAGTAAGAGCCCAGACAGCAGCTGAAATCTTTCAGTAGTTTTTCAGCAACCCTCTGCCCTTCATCATTGTACACCACCTTACAAAAGTCTTGTCGCTGATCTAAGTTTTAGGAACAACAAAAAATAACTTGACTTCTAGTTGATCATTTGGTATCAGAAGTGGCTTACATGAAAGGCAAAGGCCTCTATATTGTGCTTATTTGACCACAATAAAATATGATCATGCCTTGATTTTGAATGATTTCATTAGGACAGTAAGGTCTGACTTTGCTCAGACGAAAGTCTTGTCACTGAACAGAAATAATGTCCAGTATAGAATATAAAGTCCTGCTGCAGTGGAGACAGAATGAATATTGTGTCTGACTCCATCATGAGCTTGGAGGACTGCATCCATACATCTCTGCACTGACTCAAATCACTGATTAATAAAGTCATCTGGAATGGCGAAGAGAGCATTCCTGCAGGACTCTGCGCTGTTTTGAAAGCAAGACGAGAACTAACAGCATATTGGCTGATGGTCATCATTTTTGGCTGTGTATACTGTCACTGTAGTACGTTATAAGAATCTAGTCACACCATTCAGCCTACTTCAGAGAAAGTTTTCAAGACATGCATTTCATATCTGTTATAGATTTACATTGATTTGCTTTATTACTTTATTTGCTACAGAACAGCTACATTGGTTATCTGGACTTTAAGAAGGAAGCGATTAAGAAGCTTGGAATGAGAGCAAACACTTGCTCCTTCAATCCTGGAGTCTTCGTGGCCAATTTAACCGAGTGGAAGCAGCAGAACGTCACCAGTCAGCTTGAGTTCTGGATGGAGCGCAATGCTAAGTTAGTTTTGTGTTCAGTTACTTGTGTTTGGCTCTGTTGTTTTTCTTCTTACGATGCCTTTCATTCATCAAATGCTAGAGGTAGTCTGCAGGGCTGCCAACTGTTTGAAATATGCAATTGACATTTTCTCATGCTCAGGGGTTTCCCTCTACAACAAAGGTGAGGTCTCGACAAAGGAAATCACAGGGTTCCACATTTTATAAAATAAGCTGGCAGAGTCCTTAATGGTGTATTTAATTTTTCCAAATGTTAAAAAAGACATTAGGCCTTGTAACGGGACAGATTTTCAGGGGGGCACACCAAGATTTTGCAATATTTGCCTTTTGGTTAAGAATGAGGCGAAAGCGATAATATCAGTATGGCGCTTCTTATATAAGCTATCAGATCTCTTGCTGAGTTAATAGGACAAAAATCTGGAGCAAAAAAGACAAGGAAGACCCCTACAGTAATAATAAATGGCTAAATCATGCCCTCAAAATGTTTTGCTTAAGATGCATCTGTGTTTGAAGTTTTCTTAAATAATAGTCACTTCTGACAGCGCTCGAAATTTAAATACAAAGCAACCAATGAAATTCAAGTAGGAGCTATACGGCTCACAGAAGGCAGATTAACTCTCGCGCGGCCTCTTAACGGCACAGTAACTGTCACCACTAGAGGGCGTGTATTCACAACAAACAAAGGCATAGTTTAGGAAACTTTTTAGCCCGGGACCCCCAAAATAACAATGCCAATGACTCGCGACCCCCACTATTTTCGTAAGTGTTAATAATCATACAAACGTTGCACACAACACTCACACAAACCAATCAGCCTATATAAACACAAGCATATTGACAACACAAAAAAGTTCAAGTCCCCTATCATTTTTATTATGATTATTTTATATTAACCTCATCTAATTAGACTGGTGGGCACAATATTTAAGTTACATCCCAAGTCTTTTCTTGGTTTAATTTTGGAGATTGCCACTTACACATCATACTCCATGTTTAGTGTCCTGTATGTATTTTAAATGTACGTGAGTGCTGTAACGGTGTCAGAAAGTTTAGCTGGTGCACTGACGCTGTTGCTTTGTCATTAATCTAATGTAAAAACCCTAAGGGTTGCAATTAATGTAAAAAACAACAAAAACCAAAATGCTGATGGCTTTTTGTTTGGATATTGTATTTTTTTTATGTAACTATCTTTTATCTTCTGTTGGTTATGGATTAACAATGGTAATCATAAAAGTTTATTCAAATTTATTAGATTTTTGTAAATCACTAAGCGACCCCCTCTCATTGTCCCGCGACCCCCCAGGGGGTCCCAACCCCCACTTTGAGAACCACTGGTTTAGGGGACCGTGACAGAGTGTGGTCATCCTTGCATCCTACAGGACTCTTGAAGAAATTGTGTTAATGATGAGTTTAAAAATTCAACACTTATTATGAAGGTAGTATTAAGTAGGGCTGCATGATATTGGAAAAATCTATTGCGATTTTATTTTTCTGGAATAAATATTGCAATATGAAGTTTCACAAGATAGTTTGAAAAGCAGCCTTTGACGGTTTTCTGGGAAGTCTTAACAGTATTTGGGTACAAAAATTGAATCATCACAAAACATGCTTCACTTTGATTTGTTTCTAGTCCAAATATCTAAAAATTCTTAATCAAGTAAAAATGTTTTGTTTTCAACTTCTGAAGAAATAATACAAAATGAAGAGCTTTTCTTTAAAACAAGCAAAAATTATTTGGCATTGGGGTAAGTAAAATTCTTGTTTTCTTTAAAATGTAACTAGAAACAAAAAAAATAAGAAGATAAATGTCAATAATCATTTAAATTCAATAGAAATACAGTCATTTAATATCTCTTGGTCAACTATAATCCAGACTCAACATTGCATATCTTGCAGTGTGACTATTGTAGATGCATACATTACGATATCAATGCTGAAATTATATATTGTGCAGCCCTAGTATAAAACGAGAAACGCTAAAGCAATTCCTTAAAAAATATATATATATGTAGCATGACATGGCACAAAAGCAGCAGAGCTTTCATGACTCAGTCCACTAATTGCAGTTAAAAACATTCAAATTAACTCCAAAGATTCTACCATGTTATTATTCTCTTCAAGACCATACTTTATTACCCATAGTCTGTCTATTCAGAAAGTTAGCATTATTAGTTTTTCCGCTACGTCATTTAACATAAGTTTGTAATAAACATGCGCAATCACTATGCCAAATTAAATAAGTAAATGCTTTTGATGTAGGTGTCAATGGTGAATTCGGCTCCCAAAGAAATCAGCAACCCACATCTATAATAAAGCATGTTCAATTGTTAACATATCTTATATGTTGCCTGGCCGTAGCGCTGTTCAGTTGCATTGTTTTGAAAAAGTCAATTTACACTTTACTGTGGTTTTGACTACAGTACATTGACAGTTCTCAATGTTCTCGGTAGCCCTGAGACTATTTGTATGCTACATAGGCTTAGGATTTATGGCGAGTTTTAGCAAGGTCTAAGCCTCTTTTATAGCTGCTACTGATTTTTTGTTATGGTTATTTCACTTCAGAGAGGACCTTTACAGTAAAACTTTAGCCGACAGCATGACAACACCACCAATGCTTATTGTATTCTACAAGCACCACTCGAACATTGACCCAATGTGGAACGTCCGCCATTTGGGTGAGGAAATAATCAAGACTTCAGGTTCATAAATGCTTTGTACATCTCTTATTAGTGAACAACAGTCTAATTTTTAATTGTGTGCATTTCTAGGAGCGACAGGAGCAGGGAACCGCTATTCAGCTCAGTTTGTGAAGGCTGCAAAACTCCTCCATTGGAACGGGCATTATAAGCCGTGGGGAAGAACCTCCTCTTTTTCTGACATTTGGGACAAATGGTACATTCCAGATCCCACAGGTAAATTCCATCCAATAAGGAAACACGTCGAGGAAAAATAGGGGATTGGACTTCATGTTTTGTTTATCAAAGGACTTTCTGACACAGAACTGTCTGGATGAAAACTACAGAAAAGCCTTAATGTTTTTCAGACCTTCTTAAAACCAATGAGTAAGTTATCGGGACCAACAATTGAACAGAAAAACAGCCAACGTTCTACACCAGTGCACTACCTCAGCGTTCACGGTCCAGTTTTAAAGTACTAATAACACTAACCCATCTATGGTACAGCTTTTGAAGTTGTGTAATACACTCATGTTTTATACTTCATCATTTAAACAAATAGTCATCCATTTTGGGGTGATATTATAGACCCACTTTTTTTTTATGGAACATTTCCCTATTATATACACCTGACACAATTCTTGTCACTTAGGTATCAGAAGTGGCTCTTATGAAAGGCAAAGGCCTCTAGATTACACTTATTTGACCAAAATAAAACATGTTCATGCCTTGATTTTTAATGATTTCATTAGGACAGTAAGGTCTGACTTTGCTCAGACGAAAGTCTTGTCACTTAACAGAAATAATGTCCAGTATAGAATATAAAGTCCTGCTGCAGTGGAGACAGAATGAATATTGTGTCTGACTCCATCATGAGCTTGGAGGACTGCATCCATACATCTCTGCACTGACTCAAATCACTGATTAATAAAGTCATCTGGAATGGCGAAGAAAGCGTTCCTGCAGGACTCCCAGAGTTCATCAAGATTCTTTGGATTCATCTTCAATGCCCCCTTCATCTTACCCCAGACATGCTCAATAATGTTCATGTCTGGTGACTGGGCTGGCCAATCCTGGAGCACATTGACCTTCTTTCAGGAACTTTGATGTGGAGGCTGAAGTATGAGGAGCGCTATCCTGCTCCGGCTGTTGATGTTGCCATGCAATCTGCAGATCTCTCGCACGTCCCCATACTGAATGTAACCCCAAACCATGATTTTTCCTTCACCAAACTTGACTGATTTCTGTAATAATCTTGGGTCTATGTGGGTTCCAGTAGGTCTTCTGCAGTATTTGTGATGATTGGGATGCAGATCAACAGATGACTCATTAGAAAAGTAAATCTTCTGCCACTTTTTCCAACTGATTGACTAGAAGTCAAGTTGCTCCTACAACTGGAATCGACGACAAGACTTTTGTCAGGTAGTGTAGTCGACTTGTTCAGGACTTTAAGACAAACCTGTGATAGTTCAAATGTCTATTTTTGACACCACGTTTCTGTTACATGAATATTTCAGCTTCAAATCTGAAGGGGAAAGTGTGCTAATTTGTACATAAAGGGGAAAATGGTTCTAACCAAGTATTGAATAAAGCTCAGTATAAGTTTTGTAAGCAATGTAAGAGTTTTACCTTGTATTTAGTGAAACAAACATTTTATGTATTATTACATACAAACATGAGATGCACTGCAACTGAGTGCATTTTACTATTTAATTCCTCTCAGTCCATGTAAATAATTATAGTGAATTTTTACACAAAGTCTGTGTTGAAATCGTATGCATCCTCATTGTTCTTGTTCTGCATTGACGTCAGGTCAGTGTTGACTGGTACAAACTTCACTTCTTTTGCTGGTTTATCTAAAGAAAATATAAAAACAAATCTGAGAATTATTATTATAACCTTTATACGTTACCAGGAAAGACACATTGGGATTAAAAATCACTTTTACAAGAGCGACCTGGCCAAGATTAGGCAGTATAAATGTCACATGGGTCTAAATGACAAACAATTGACAGTTAGTATGCATCGCATCACACATTGACAAACAAACTATTTAAAAGCATCTGCAAGCCTATGTTTCAATTTCTAAACCATTTGTAGGCTTTTTAAAAGCATTTAGTGAAATCAATTCTTCAATCTGCAGCTTTGTTTGTAAACTGCATGCAAAAGGTGCTGCATATTGTAAAGCAGGGGTGCTCAACCCTGCTCCTAGAGATCGACCTTCCTGCATAGTTCAGCTTCAACCCTGATCAAACACACCTGAACCAATTAATTAGGACCTGAACAGCACTTGATAATTAGTCAGGTGTGTTTAATATGGGTTGCAACTGAAATCTGCAGGAAGGTAGATCTCCAGGAACAGGATTGAGCACCCCTGTTTTAAAGCCTTCATCCCATCCTAGTATGCACTTTAGGAACAGACAGTGAATAAATATCCTGTGACCAAAGGCTATAGATAAGGACAGATATTTTTTTTTTTACAAATGTAATTCTGGAGATATGATGGGATTAAACCCAGTATAGATTTGTAAACAAAGATATGCCAATGCTTGAGCCTAAAAATAATCAAAGCAGACCAACTTACCCTAGTATACAACACTATGATGATTAAGGGATTTAAAATTAGTTGTAAATCTCAGTGCACCATGGTAAACAGTATCCAATGCATACAAACTCTGAGACGAAGCATGGAATGACAGAAGACCATAAAGAGGCAAGACTGAGCTGTAATTAACAACATACCTTTTCTCTTTTCTGTTGGTTCCTGAATCGGTTCCACGGTTGATGAAATATGGCTTTCGGCCTCAGGCTTAAAAACAAAAAGTGTGTCGATCAATATTCAACCATCATTTAATGCATTCTGAGTACTGAAGTCATGTGCTGGGATGTTCTGTTTTATTATTACTGTTGACTCAAACACAAAAAAGGGACAAATAATGCAGTTTAATTTGGAACAGAATGAAAAATCTGACAACATCGTTTAATTTAAATGTCAAAGCTTCACAGAGAACAGTCATTGGCCGTGAAGGTCATCAGTTCATCACTTATGGTCGTTTCTGTCAAGTACTTGAAACAGATTTTCATTCAAACTAAATCGATGTAAACTATACATTTGAGTAGATTGATAATTCCAGCCCTACTTTCCAAAAACACCAAGTAAATCAGAACCTACACATGTTAGTCTATCCGTCTCCTTATCCATGAGGTTCAAATAATCTTTGATGTTGCCTTAATCCAGAGTAGATGACAAACTCAACGCATCAATGAGGCAAAAGAAAACTTGACTGAACCAAAGACGTTTCTTCAGTATGCATTCTGTGCACAAGTAAACTTATCTAACTTACTTATTTGTAAATATCAGATGTAATTGCATGTGTGTGAGAGAGATCAGAGTTGGATTAGATGGTCATCAAGGAATTATGTGATCACCAAACTCATCATTTCTCTTAGACAGAAACGATTCAGAGGTAAATCATCATCATTATTATTTGCTTTTGTCTCATTTGAAGTACCTCATCTGTGTTGGTTGTCGTATCCATCTTCTCTTCTTCTGCATCTGTTGTTGTTGCTGCCTTTGTTAAGATCTCTTTAGGCAGCTCACTGACATCCAGCACTCCAGCAGTGGGACCACTGGAGTCAAAGCTTATGCAGCTCGCGAGGTTTGGAAAGCGAACACCTGAAGACAGGTACATTTACATTAGTTTTCACCTAATAAAGCATCTAGACATAGTTCCAAAATCAGGGTTGCCATTTTAAGACAAAACTTAATATATAAAGTCCACATGAATTGGAAGCTACTTTTTTTTTTATTTAATTGTGACAGTTCACAGGATGTAGTGAAGCAGGCTTCAACAGGCACAGCTTGGTTACTGCATTTGACCTCTAAGAATGCTAGTTTAAGAGCATGATAAGAATAAAATGGAGCTGAGAAATATATTAACCATAACAATGAGTGTAAAACTACAAAAAAAATGAGATATTAAAATTTAAAAAGTGACTAACAAAAAGACTTGGACAAGATATATATAAATCCCTTGACTTTCAATGTCTGGAATAGGGCTGCACAATATACCCTAAAATCATCGTTCTTGCGATAATAATATATGCAATATACACTCACCAGCCACGTTATTAGGTCTGAGGAATATTTCCAGTACCGTTGAATCTGTTCAATTCTGAAGGCAATAGGGTGTCCAACTTGGTACTAGTAAGGTGTACCTAATAAAGTGGCCAGTTAGTGTACACATCACAGACATTGTGTGATAAAAGACATTTAATTTATGCATTGGTTGCTTATCTAAATTTGACCAATGGGGCCTTTACTATCCTTATCCCTGCCTCCCCAGTGGTTCCTGTTCAGCTTTTGGTTGGAGTAACCCAAAGCTGAATTATGACCCAAAAGTGGCGGGAGTCGGAGAGAGTAAAATGCCAACAGCCAATCAGAGTCAGAATATCTGCTAAGGTTTTCACTCATTCATAAGATTTTAAAAACTAAATGTTTGCACCATAACACAGTTTTTAATCTGAATTTGATCAAATTAGATATGAAAAATATTTTATCTGTTTATTTTAAATAATTGCATAAATGAAAGACTAAAACAGCTAATAAAAAAAGCATTTTTCTATGGAAATGTTGCATCGTTATTAATACTTAAACACAACATTGCGTATTTTTCCAGTATCGTGCAGCTCTAATCATGTGGGATTTATTTAATGGTTATTACTAGAGGATCAAAGCATTTAAACATGAGACGTACTTCTCTTTACATTCTCGTTCCCCTTCTTCACAGCATCCATATCCACATCTGACTGCAGTTCAGTCACGATGGCGTCGGACAGGTAAGAGGGAAGACCCTGTCGCTCTGGAACTCTGCTGTAGTAACTCAGCTTAGCCCTAAAAACATCACAGCACTTAGGTTTTGAGGCTAAAGTACTTCATATGTGATAAACAGATGATCTGAAACTCACCCTGTCCAGTCGTTGAGGAATGTTGTGGCTGCCAGTTCAGTGTCTGCAACGCCACCTTTCTGCAGGAGCCCGTGCTTCATGGCAAAGGTGGTCAAAAACTCTAAGGAGCTTCTGTAGTCTGGGACATTATACTGTAGCATTATCTAGAAGAGAAACATGGACATTGTATTACTGTAAAAGATAAAGAATACAGTTAAGTAGAATTTGTGTTTGCACTAACTGGTGTCAACAGAACTGGTGCTTTGGTACCAAATTAATAAAAAATAAAAACAATAAAGATATGCCTACCAAGTGTTACCACATGATTTTTTTCAGGGACAACGCTTTTTTTATTATTAAAAATAATAATAATAATAACAATATTAATTATTAAACAAATAATTAAATAAATTACATAACAAATAATTAATTAAATAAAATAAGTAAATCAAAACAAATAATTAAATAAAATAAACAAATAAATTAAAATAAATAAATAAAAAATAAAAACTATCTAAAAACAAATTAACTAAAATAAATGAAATAAAAT